ACCTAAGAAAACCCAGACACCTAAGAAAACCCAGACACCTAAGAAAACCCAGACACCTAAGAAAACCCAGACACCTAAGAAAACCCAGACACCTAAGAAAACCCAGACACCTAAGAAAACCCAGACACCTAAGAAAACCCAGACACCTAAGAAAACCCAGACACCTAAGAAAACCCAGACACCTAAGAAAACCCAGACACCTAAGAAAACCCAGACACCTAAGAAAACCCAGACACCTAAGAAAACCCAGACACCTAAGAAAACCCAGACACCTAAGAAAACCCAGACACCTAAGAAAACCCAGACACCTAAGAAAACCCAGACACCTAAGAAAACCCAGACACCTAAGAAAACCCAGACACCTAAGAAAACCCAGACACCTAAGAAAACCCAGACACCTAAGAAAACCCAGACACCTAAGAAAACCCAGACACCTAAGAAAACCCAGACACCTAAGAAACAGAAAGTGTAATGTATGTAATAACAGTTTTAAAGAGCATATTTTGAAAGCTTGTTAATGGCGGTTGAGTAGAAGACTTCTGCGCCCTATTTATATTGTCTACGGTGTCTCCCTTATCTGGCCAAGGAATAACTTGCGCAATCCGGTGAGAAATGGAGAGCAGTTTTAAACGAAATTCTCTTTCGGCCTGCAGCTGTGCCGCCAAATCCTTCCCTCTCCATAATTCAAGGTTCACGGTTCAATGCAGCATCGGGATGGTCCTCTAAGTGATGTTTTGTGTATCTGTCTTTCAGTAAATGCTAATGAAAAGATATCTTAACCAAACAATCGTGTAGTAGGCATTATTTTTGTTGATAAATATTTGCGCCTCTCTTCTTTATCTAAAAATAAAAGCATCAAGTTTTCGTATTGACGACTTCATTTCAATGCGTGGCGCCTCAAGCGGACTTTTTTTTGTACATCCTTGACACGTCATATCACCCAAGCGACGTTAAAATAATTGCACTACCAAAGAAAATGCGCTTACAATTAGGGGATAATGTTCGCCAATCACTTTCTTGCCTTTCCATACAATCTCTACCAAAGCCATTCATCATCCAATCGTCAAAATACATTCAAATCTAAGATAAAGTGACTTGTATTTTAATTTTTTCATGGGTCTCTAATATCCTTTATGTACTGGTCGAAGTTGTTCACAACCCTGCTCCTCGCACTTTCGAAGAAATCGTCTGGTTTAAGCTGCTCTGGGTCATAAACCTTCGACAAAGGAACAACTTTATAGTCGTTGACATCTCTGATCACCACATCATACTGGTTCAAGTTATTCTTCGTAACGTACCTGTCGTTGAGTTTTCCTACAACAGCTACCTCCTCTCCAGATTCAGTGAACACTGTGATGATATACTCATTCTGACTCACCCTGAAAACACACAGTTTCGTATCCAAATATGTCACTTCATCGTATGATGCAATTGTGTCATCAATATAGGAGAACTTGACAAAAACTTCCCCATTCTCGCCAAACGTGTACAATTTTCGGTTAAAAACTGAAACATTAGGGTATACATTCACTTCTGGAATGTGCTTCTTATTGAGGTGGACCAACCATCCGTCTTCCCAAGAACTCATGACGGTCGAACGATCTCTAACAGGATTTGGGGCTTTATATACAACAGAGCCGCTCCACGCGCGCGTTTAGTGAAACGCTTTCAATACTTATCGACAACCGTGACTATTGGGATAGAGCATTGTGAAATACGGAAAAACACAACAATGTGAACCTATGACTCCTTTCAGATCCTAAGTATCTTTGACGTCCGGTTGGCTCGTAGAAAAAGCCTCAATGACTGAGGATGTCTATCAAAGGTGTTGCAGCCGCTCAACCAACAGGCTACTCGTGTGAGCCGCACTTTTAACCAATGGAATGGTGCGTCACTATTTATTTTATCGGCTGTGGATTACATATCTTTCATTCCTCAGTGAACTATGCAGTAAGTGCTCGGAGACTATCTAAAATTCCCGAATAGTAAGGAAAGTGGTCTATCTTGTGCCAAATTAAGATTTCTAAAACGAACATATGGCAAGCAAATTAGCAGATGCTAGATGCTGTAAGTTTAAGAGGCTCGGATTTGTAGTTTTAGCCAAATCTGGTCATGATCGAAGGAGGAAACCATTTCTGACGTGTGGCAAAGCGCAAAATGGTCGGCACATTGGGTTGTAGTAGTGCCGTCAACCGTGCGGCTCCGATAACGTCTACATAAGCGAACCACACGCACGAATTAAGCGACATATTTTGTCTCGCTTACTCACTAACAATTAAAAATGGTCGTAACCCCTTTCGAAACCTATGAATAGTACAATGAGATTCTCAGGACGCTGGGAGCCAAACCTATGCTCGTCCTTTTTTCTGGTATCGGATGTGGGCCCTGCGATAATGTGGCTCCTTACTTCGAGAAGTTATCTGAGGTGTACGGCTTTGACTTCTACAAAACCGAGCGTTCCATGAGCAAACTAGACGATATTTTCAAGACGGAAACGCCCCACATCATTGCATTTCCTACTTTTGGATTCTTCAGGTTTGGTATGGAGTTGGGGAAGGTTGTTGGAGACAGCCCTGAGCAGCTCAAGGAGTGGATCGAACTTAGCATCAAGTATAAAGGCGACTGATAAACTTACTGTTGACATGCTTTTATAGTTGTTGATATATAGACTAATCGAAGAATCAATTTACCTATTCAGTGGTTGGGAGTAGTTCGACAATTGCAGCAATCCGTTCTTGACCCCGTATTGTTTGTAACTCCTGTGACCCAAGCGATAAAGCAGATTTTTCTAGGAAGATTTCCGATCCGGGGGTGCGGGGTGTTCAGAAGAACCCGTACGAATCTCCTGTCTTACTTTCTCGAAACTCTTCTTTACCCTCAGAAATGAGCACTCCACGAGGTCATCGAATGTCACGCCGTTTTTTTCACCTATGACTGATAGGTGCACAATTTCATAGTCTTCTGGGTTTCTGATCTCCACATCATAGGCTCTGATATGGTTTTTCTTTAGATATCTCTCGCCAAGCTGTCCAAGAACTGCCACTTGTGGCTTTTCTCCAGGAACTCTGTTTGTTAGGATCACAATGTAGTCTTCCTCGCTTACTCTATAGATACATGTATTTGTGTCATAGTAGGCAAGATCATCATAGCTATCAAGGTACGCGTCATAGAACGAGAACTTGATATAAGCTTCCTCATTGGACCCAAAAGTGTACAATCTTCGATTAAAAATAGTTATATTGGGCCAAACGTTTACATCGGGAACTATTTTCTTGGTGGTCTTCACCAACCACTTATCTTCCCAGGTGCTCATTTTATTCTCGATGTCTTGTTAGAAACTGTAATGGACTCTGAATCAACAATGACAAAAAGGATGCAATTGACATTTTTGAAAGGGGGCCATGCCATTTATATCTATAGATTAGCGAGGCACGTCATGCCATGGAGTGGTATGTAATGACACTTGCACAATGCCACACTTTAACACAACAAATGCAAGTAAAGGTGTTGAAGTAATGTAACAGTAGCAACGCAAGAAAAAACTATCGAGATTGGAGAATGAAGCGTGGATAAGGCCCCCAAGCATTGAGTAGAAAGAGACGGTCTTTGAAGGTTCGAGTGTTGACTTGTTATCTCTGTATGGAGTGCAATGATATGCTTTAAGGGATGTGCATCTCTCATGATAAGCATGCATGTGTCAAACTTGGTCACAACAGATACACCGACTGCTCTTCATTCGAACTATTTTTGCTCCAAATGTGGGAATAATCTAATGGACCCAACAGGGTCTGGGGCTTATACTCGGCTCCACTTGTAATTGATACGCCACGCAATCGACAAGCCGCAGAATTGACAGGTTCCGCGATATGTATGCTCGCCTGTAACTACATTGACAGATAAGCCAGTCATTCGCACAGTGCCACACTTCACTTATAGCACATGCAAGACTTTCTTGTCAAAAGGCAGGTGAGCATGGCAGCTACGCTACTTGGGTTGTTTTTAGCTTTGGGATGTTCATTTTCGGAGCCACAGTGTTCGCCAACAAGTACACATGAGAAGCCGGAGTTTAAAAATACCGGCGGTCCACAAACATAGTAAAATGCCATGAACCTCCATTTGTTGAAATCCACAACTTCTTTAAACAACATATATCAAGCTTTTAAATAATCAGAAACTTCAGGAAAGACAGAGCCCGTTCCGCTTTTTTCGTGCGAAGTTGTCCGTCGTTCACAACATGGAAACCTACTACCAGGTTTACGTGTTTGACGCCATAAGTAAGATGAGCAAAGAAAAAAACACACTTTCTTACAACTACGGTAAGGTGGGATATTATTAAATTGGAATTGTATCCCCAGATCAAATCCCTTTAAAACTTTTTGCACTTGTAAGTTCAAGTTTCGAGCAGTGGTGATAGTCAGGAGAGAAGTTCAAGCGACGCGTCTCAAAGAACTAGGCAACTCGTCATATTCCTAAAAAAATGACATTCTTATATTCTTTGCTCTGTCTATTTCATAGTGGCTGATTATTTAAGAACACATTTATTTCTCAATTCACAATATTTTCAGTTTTTTAAAATTGTGAGTATTTGTTTTGCCATGGTACTGCGATTCTCAAAGACTAACATAAATATGCAAATTAAAATCGCCACCAAAAATCGAAATTTCACTGAATTTATAAATAAACAAATGGATACAAATCCTAAAATATCAAAAAAGATCCTCTGAGTTTTTTTAGCACTTTCGGTTGGCTACATGTGCTGGTTCCCTGTCGTTGCTGTAAATGCGATTCTCACCTTAATGAAATTCCAAGTAAATGGGCAGTTACGGAAAACAAAAAAAAATAATTCAGCTACAAGAAACTAAATTACAGTAAGAAACCTCTTATGGTCAGAAATACGACGGCTGCGGTTAATTGTTCCCTTTATTTTATTTGTTTACATCTTCTTTCGCATAGGGAAGAAATCTGAATAACAGTATCTTGAGAATACAATTTTACAACAAAATAGCAGCATTTATTAAAAGAGAAAGGGAGTTTTGACGTTGTTCTTTATACTTAGAAGGGTAATCACTTACGGTGAACGAGAGACATATTTTTACATCTAACGCTCGCATTTAATGACATGGCAAGAGGCAAGTTCCTCAAAGGTAAATTGAATATTTTCAACTACTGGGACGTTTCATGCAACCATTTGAAGCTGGACCAGGCGTTTACCTTCAACTTTAGTGGCAATAAAATTAAGGCACCAGTGAAAGACTTTGTGATGTCCTCAGAGTCTGGCGATGTACGAAAAGAACTAAAAAATTGCAAGGTTGTGTACGGACAATCAAAAGTCGTTCCAGACGGCTCCAGTGGACTATACAGTTAGATAAATTAGTATATAGTGATATTCTAAAACCGGCTTACTGATGAATACCGCCATTACTCCGTTTGGTATACACTGAGGTTAGGATTATCGTATGTCATTGCAACGCTCAAATAGGCAAGACGATCAAACATCAAACATTGATTGGCACTCCCAAACTGGAAAACATATGAGACCGCCAAGTAAAGACCAGAGGAGAAATGTCTTAAGCAACTAATATATAAACCTGGCCTCCTCCCTAGGTTCTTTCAACATCATCAAACAAAAATGGCCGCTCAAACTACTCAGAACAAGAACAACACTCCAAAGGACAACAACTTGAACAAGCACGCTGGACGTGGCGCCGTTCCATTCATGTGTACTATCGTTTAGATCAATACATAAGATTTCCTTAACTTTTGATATCTGTAGAAGCTGGAACCATGGAATGAGGCAGGCTTATTTTATAAGTGAACCAGGTAACCCACTTCAGCATGTAAACCCAGTAAACTCACGTCCCATAAGGCAACGTCAACGAAACCCTGCCTTTATCTAACAGAATCCACCAATAAATCAAACCTCATACCAAGCAGTGGCTACTCTGGTTAGAACCAGTCCATGGGGTAAGGGTGTAGTGTATGTTCCATACCCCATAGTTCAGTGCGTAACACTAAGTAGTAGTAATGGATGTGTTGATCTTCTGCTTGATGGTACCTTCCAAATGCTCTGATGACCAAAGCATGCTTGAGGTGTAAGCAGAAGAAGTTGAGATGTGACGGTTTACAGCCAGCTTGTGCGGCGTGTGTTGAAAGCGGTTCTCTGTGTGAAAGTTGTCTGGACATGAGAGTCGATAAGAGGAGTGTCCAGAACGGCGTGACTAGTTTTGTGTTTAAGAATACGGGGGAGAGAAAACGGAGAAAGAAGGTTTTTGGAAGGCTGGACCATGCTTTGGAGTGTCGGTCTCTGTGCCTTGGAGAAGTGCCAGAGGATGTGCTTACAGGTCTGGAAAACGTACCTATAGCTCCTTTGCTGGGGTTGGACGACGCTTTTGGAGCTCCTTTTGATATGGAAGTTGAAGATTTTTGCTGCATTTGGATAGCACATGGGGATTTGAGTTTTTTGGGACAGATAGTATTACCAATGAACCTCGTTTTGAAGAAGATGGGACGACGCCTTACCAGACATTGATAGATATCGTCTTCAGCGACGAAAAGCATACGCCAATCGCAGTGTCAAAGCTGTTGATGGACGGGATTGTTGGAAAGACTCATAGGACGGATGATGGGTCCTTCCTCTTAAGTACTGGTGCGTTGACTTAAGCCAAACGTGAGTTTGCAGAGCAGAAGAAGAGCCTGGACTCAGGAATTCAGACGAGAACTCCGTTGGCTGCTTCAGCACTACCAAAATACGAGAATTCTTAACTCGTATGAGGGTTGTTTCTTATAGCAAACTTTCTAAGTGGGCTTTTAACCCTTGAAGCGCAAATGTTAGTTTCATTTCATGCCTTACAGGTTGCTGTATCTATTGGCATACACGCTGCAAAAAGCTCAAAGTATCTGGACGAAGAGTATGGTCTTACGATTGCGTTTTGGGAGTTGTGGTGTTCGGCGTGCTTGTTTTGCAGCTTTCATGGTAGGCTTCCGCCGTTGAGAAGAGAAGATATTACTAGTCTGTTGAGTTGCAGATGGAAAATAATTTCAATAAGGAACTCTTCTTACTCAGAACCCAACTTGCTGAACTTCATTGTCAAGTTGCCATGAAAAGGCTACATGGAAGTGGTCATGCAAGCTCTGACTTTAACAACACTATGAGTGCTATATCAGAGAAAGTCAGTATTCTCGAGGAAGGATACGCCTCAGACGAAGTGACCTTCAATAGACGTGAGCTCTTAGTGTTGGAACCCAAGTGCTGGAAAAGCCAAGCTATAATGCTTGCAAATGAAGAGAAACTCACTCTGAAAAGCAACACTCGTGCTGTTGTCGAGGCAAGAAGTATAGTTCGATAACTATGGAGCCATTACAACCCCGAGGCGTTCGAAAAGGGACCTATGCTTGTACACTTAGATTGGAACTTTACATACCCACTTCGAACCGCCACTATGTGCGCCTATACGGCAGCCAAAGTTTTGACAGAGTTCATAAACTCTGTTGATTACCTTACTTATGAGTATTATGACTACAAGTTGAGTCGAAGATTGTTAGAGTTTTTGACTGGCATGATGCCCATCAATAAGCATTTGTTACCGGACTTGGATGACATGAAAAGTGCTTAACTAGATTCATTGTCTTGTTCAAAATGGGCCAGTACATAGGACAAGACCTGTTAATATATTATCAAAGCCTACGCCAATTGACAGTTTAGATCCATATGTAGTTCATTGTAGGAAGCATGGCCTTCACATGGAAAGCTGCTACGGCGTTTCTTGGTGGATCCCTTGTTTGTCTTATTTTTAGCCAACGCTCAACGGTTATAAATCGTACATTCCAGCTTGGCCAATGGTTTGAACGGAAAAACCACTTCTTTTCACCGCCAAGCCATGGAAGTCATGGAAAAGCAGTTGCTGGAGAATTGAGGCTGAGAACCCATCGTTTATTCTTCTTCCTTTGCTGATTTAGTGATAAACGTGGAAAAGAGGATGTTACAAGATATGAACTACTAAATGATGCTAAAGAGTACCAGAAAGCACCCAAAAGAGGTCGTTGTATCTAATTGTGGTTTGACTTAGGAGAATAATAGAACTGCTGTTTGAATGGCATGATGCTTTTCCTGGAGTCTTCCTTAACCTTCCCTAGTTGTTGGTTACCCTGAAAGATGGATAAATACAAACTGGGGAGATTTTAGGTTAACTTGAAAGCATTCTTTAGCCATAAAACTGCAATATAGATCTAATTCAGAGCCCATTTATTGACCATCCTGGGCGTCCATCTCCAGCAGCTGTTCAAAGCTAGTCCAGCAAACTACACCGATCAAACAATCCGAATGCTCTATAAAGGGCCAGTTTAGATTGGAGGATTACTATTTTGGCTTTAAGTACTGAACGGCTTCGTTGACAATAAAACAAAGAGCTCTCCAGCTTTTGAGTACTTAAGGCAAGTTCACCATCCACCTATCACCATCAACCAATCACCTATCACCATCCACCAACGACAACCACAATCCACAACCAACCACGTTCCCTTTAATCAACATCCTGGTCTTATCAAGGAAAAACTGTGCATTCTCTAACAATGGCACTTGGCTTTGTGATCTCCAGATGTGGCTGCAAAATCACGAAGATCCACGGAAACACACAAAAATCGCCGATTTACGAACCCTCCCAGCCCCCTAAACCCTTCCCAAAACAACCCCTATTGCTTCAATACCAACCCCTATTGCTTCGCCTGCTTGGCATGGCTTTGCCTGGGGAGTCCCAAGAAAACCACACCTCATCTCGTCGCCAAAACACGCAATCTATTCTTATCTTCCACATTCCTTCTATCAGATCATCTCGGGGCGGTGTCCTTCGCTAAGCGGCTGAATTGTGACATATTGGCGCCGTACGTTGATTGTGATGGGGTGAATTCCGCTTAGGCCCACTTATATCCACCCAAATCCACCTATTCCCGCTTACACCCGCTTAGGCCCGCTCATCAGCCATATCTGGGGAAAACATATAAAGACACGGTTGAAAACCTTCTTTCGTTCCAAATCATCATCATTTATCAACCATGGCTGAAGGATTCGAAAACTGGAGACCCTACGAGTACACTCCCTCCATCGCTGCTGCCATTATCTTCACTATCTTGTTCACAGCAGTGACAGCATATGCATTCTTCCAGTTTTTCAAGGCATTAAGGTACCCCCAGATCGAAAAACTCGATAAGAAACGAACCCTCATCATCATTCCTTTCCTTGTGGGTGGTGTCTGTGAAATCGTGGGCTGCATTGGCAGATGTGTCTCTTCCCAGGATGAAGATGCTCTTGCTCCATTTATCATGCAATCGACGCTTTTGCTTGTGGCACCAGCACTCTTTGCTGCTACGATTTACATGATTTTGGGAAGAGTCATTGCCATGTTGAACAGTGGCCACCAGTCGCTCATTCCGTTGAAGTGGCTCACCAAGATCTTTGTGCTTGGAGATGTCATTTCCTTCTTGATGCAGGGTTCTGGTGCTGGCATCATGTCTTCAGGAGACACAGATTCTATTTCTTTGGGTGAAACCATCGTCATTATTGGTTTGTTTGTGCAAATCGGTTTCTTCTCCGTGTTTATCATTGTCACTGGCCTCTTTCAGCTTAGAGTGTGGAAAGAGCCATCTTTGGAGGCCCAGGCTACTCGTTACACACCAACAAGAGTTCACAATTGGCAGATGATTCTTGTGACTCTTTTCGCTTGCTCCTTGTTGATTCTTGTCAGATGTATCATCAGAGCAATTGAGTACATTCAAGGTTGGGATGGGTACATCATCTCTCACGAGGTGTTCCTCTACACTTTGGATCTTTTGTTGATGTTCTTGAACATGGTGTTGTTGTGCTGGCAGGATATTTGTGGCTACTTTGTGGAGGTTGGACCCCAGACTCGGGATGCCAATGTCACCAGGCTGCTTACTGAGGCTCTGGATCCATTCAAGGAGAAGTCGTTCGGGTACTAGAGGGAGATTTATAGAGGAGGGCCGTTTGCGGTCCAATAGCATTAGCAGTTTATTCATTTCAAATACAGATCTCAGTCCTGAAGAAGAATTGGTAAAATACACAAAGATGGAAGCCTCACAGGGTGATTCGGACTTGGCACAAGGTTTCCGAGGCCTGATAAGATGTATGGAAGTACATTAAGGCTATTCTTGGTCCTTTGATTAACTGTGAATTGCTGGTTGGTAAGATTGGGTTGTCCCGTTTCAAAACATAAAGCTTAAGTATATCACTAACCAGTAGCCTGCACTTCTTAATCTATAATGCTTTCTGCAAGTTCTGATATGGTTTCGGTAGGTTTTGGTTCTTGTTTGGTAACATACGGCTTCTGCTAGTTAGGTATGTCTATAAGTGGAAACACGGCTGAACCGGTGAAGAAATTTAGTGGTGAAGCACCTATTTAAACAACTTTAGGCCATGAAATGTATTTTAATTAAATTAAAGACCAATGGTAAACCTTAACAGTGAACTCCATTTATCACCAAAACGTCTTTGCATCCTCTGACCACCAAATTAAATTAGATTCAAATCATCCAAACCCATCGAAAGACTCTATTCTGCAATTAATGTAGACATCAAAAAGCTATCCTAAACGACTTCCTTGGCTTTCCTGGCCTTCCTCACTTCTCTTGCTTTCCTGGCTTCCCCAACCAGCATCCTACCAAAACACGCCCAACAGCTTAAAACCCAAACAACAAGTGCCGTTTCTAAATTGCCTTGCGCCCCCAAACCCCATCTCTTCATCTCCTTTCCGTTCTTCAAACTACAAATAGACCGGTCCACGCTCACTCAATTTTGCACCCACCTCCGCCTCTAACACAGCCCATAGCAAGTAAAAACCAACGAAAACATAGCAAACGCATGTTTTTTCTTCTTGGCAAGTGCCCCTATTGCCTCGAGGCATCACGGCTTTCGTGAATTGAGTGGGGGAAGAAGTTCTTGTAACTGAACGGCTGCAAAATGCAGAGTTCCAGTTGGCCCAACGCAAGAATGCAAGAAAGGCAATTTACGAGTTTCCAGGCACTTACAAGCTGGCCTTCTTGGCACGTCAGATCAGACTGCCGTTCGTTTATGGAAATTAACTAGGAGTGTTCAGATTGGCTATAGTTAAGCAACCAAAGGGGATCAAGCCATTCTAGAACCACCAAAAGACCCCAAAAACCAAAAATATTTAAACCACCATAACTAGATCCATCCCCTGAAGGATCTAAAAATACCTGGAATTGGTGCCAACCGCTTCTGGTGCCGTTTCTTCGTCCAGCATGTCTGGCGGCTGCTCATTGGTCATCGTGCGGGTTTACGCGGGTTTACGCGGATTTATGCGGATTTCCACCACTAGGCCCGCTCATCCAAACCATACTTATTCCCTCTATTTCCCACTAATTCCCACCACACAATGCCTGAAAAAGTCCAGAAAAGACACAGGAGAGTCTTCAGTTGCACAAACTGCCGCCGGAAAAAGCGGCGCTGTGATAGGGGCGTTCCCTGTGGAGAATGCTCCCGAAACGGCCTCAGCGATTGCTGCTCCTACGAAGACGTCAAGCCATATAAACCTCTACTATCCCAGCAAGGAGTTTCTGCTTCTTCAAGTCCTTCTTATTATACTGGTGACGATATCGAGTCTTACTGGCGGCAAATGGCTCAGGTCAAGAAGGAAAATGATCATGGCGCTTTGGGTGCAAATGACTGGGAGTATAATCTCTTTGAGGCTCTGAACACACTGAAAGACGGCAAGGTGGAGACCAGTCTTCTTGGGTATATCACGATGGCGGGCGCTGACCCATTTACAGATGTGGTGAAGCATTTTTTTGTCAAGCAGAAGCTGCTTAACCGATTATGGAGTAACCTCATTTCCAAGGATGGAATGGTGCCCAAGGAGAAACTAGGCCAGTTTGAGCAGAAGGCTATGGTTCACTTTGGGGATAAGCACCTTCGTCGCTTGAATAATCAGTCTACAGATGCAGAGTATAATGCTGCTAGACAGGCCATCACGGCGGGAAACATCCAGCATGGCCTCACATTCAAACCAGACAGTTCGTGGACTACCCTTTCGTTGCTGGAACAGGTTCTTCAGATGCTTCCTCCGTATAGCGTTGTTCTTCTGCTTGTTCGAGAATTCTTCCTGTTCCAGCAGAAATGGTTGCCTGTGTTGGACGAGAAGGAGTTCTTTGCTGAGCTTAACAGGGTTGTTGGTCCTACTTTGGAAGGTCACTGTATCGTTAGAAGCCTCAAGCTGCCTCGGGACGCTGCCATCTTGGCGTCTTTGCTTTTGGCTATCCGTCTTGCTTATTCTATGGTGGTTGAAACGAAAGCAGATGCTCCAAGCATCGACAGAACCAATATTTTGGAGCATCCAGTCCCCATTGATGCTGCAGAAGTTGCTATTGACCTTACTAAAGAGTTGAGCCACGCTACTTCAGCTGGAACCCACGGCCTTCGGGCTCTTATGATGCTCCAGACTTTCAACATCTTCAGCCCAGAAAGAGGCATGGTCACAGACCACTTTTCGGGTTTGGAGATCATGAAACGTATCCAGAGCTACGCCGAGGTTTTGCATTTGGGCATTGACCGTCTGGTAATCAGTAGATGGAGGCACAAGTTGGAAATCGATGCTGCAGACACTGAGGATGGTAGAGCCCTTTGGCACACCATCATACGTCTTGATACCTTCGTTGGTATCTTGTTCGATAGAGGAGCTACGATTCACCAGGAAAGCTATAACGTGGAGTACCCATCTGCTCACCACCCCAGTGAGGCTGCCGAAATCTTCTGCGAAACACGAGCCGAGTTTATGGCACTTCGGGATCTTCTCACGTCCACCAGTCCCTTGGCTAGCAAGTTGAGGTACAGTGAGCTTGTGGAGAAGATCCACCGTCTTGAGGATGCCGTGGAGCAGAAGCTAGGCAAGCCTGGCGACTACTTGAGACCTTTGGATGACGAAAAAGCGAACCTTAAGTGCTCCAAGTTTATTTTGCTTGTTTTGACAAAAACCTGGCTCCTGGTGATCTACTCCCTGTTGTACTTGTTCTTTGAAAACAAAGGCGAGATTGAACTCAGTGTCCACTACGTGAAGAAGCGTTTTGGAATCACCCAGAAGGATTTTGGATTTCTCAAGGCCGGCCTTCTTGACCACCTTGATGAATACTTTGGTCCTGGTTCGCTCGCCTTGTTGAAGCCAATACTTGTCAATGCTATTGCGTCGCAGGTGGGTGCTGGTGGTATTAGAGTCAGAGCAGCCTTCACTTTGAGGCAGTTAGAACGCCAGGCAAACCAAGATATTGTGGCCATCAAGTCTCGGAACCTTTACGAGCTGGTCGTCAGCAAAATCTTTGGCGCAGAAGAATCAGCTTTGGAGCTTGCGGAAGCCATGGCAGAGAAGTTCCATTACGCCTGGGCGGTGTCGAGATCCACACGTTTTGGCCAGAAGATGATCTCAGACGAGGGCATTTTTGACACCACAGAGGAGCTTTCTCAGCGTGCCAGAGTGCACTACACGGTGGATCAGCTCAAGAGCATTGATCTGGTGCTCAACGATGCCAGTGTGGAGCACAAGCTGTACAATGACATGTATGGCGAACCTGACAAAGATAGCTCTTCAGAGGCTCGTGAGCTCCGTCTTTTGAATGCTCTTCAGATGGAAAAGAAGTGGCTGCTGATAGCCCAGATCCTGACCCACGCTCAGAAGTGTACTTTCAACAAGCGTGCTGGTTTGGTCGCCCAGGAGCAAACAGCCAGTGTTCTGCCCATCGAAACATGGCAATACGACCTTGAGCTCTTACAGGGCTACGATCCGCTGCTACTCACGGAGTTTTTGGGAACCCTACGATGTAGATAGGTCTCAGGTAACGGTTACAGGTAAATAATGTGTTTGGAAATAAAAAGGTAATGTCAGAATAGTTTGCTTTGTCTTTTTGGACTGGCTGTTTGATGTTTAGCGCCCCAAAGATCCTCAAACTGCTTTGTGGTTCTTTCTTTCTTTTGTGTAATAATGGTGGTCATGATAATCATCTGGGGACACAGAAAGCCCCAAGGGTAAAATGTTAAAAGCCTCTTGTGTCGTTATTGGCTATTCTGTGCTACCTAAAGCATTGCTATATGGATTGTACTAGAACCTGGATCTGTCTTCCACAGAAAATGGAAAGGCAATTCTAACCGTCTAAGAGCTGATGAGCCAAGTCTTGGAGCTGGAAAATGGAGAATATCGCCAAGTGAAGTGCTAACAGGAAACAAAGCTTCTATATGGTTTATTCTGCAAGTTTTAGTATACTCAAAGTGCAGATTTAAAAAGCCATCACAAGACAATGGAAGGTCCAGCAAAAGCTTGATCTTTCTTCCTCTACAAATAAAGTAAGGCAGCAGAATTAAAGTAAATACAAAAAGCACACTCTAGCAAGCTTACAAAAGCATAATAGCAGCAACTCCCAAAGCAGCACTGCCTACACTATACTTCACGGCACCACCTGTAGCAGAGGTAGTTTCGTCAGTAGTAGCCTCGGCAGTGGCAGAAGTGGAAGTGGTGTCAGAAGTCTCAGAGTGACCATCGATTCTCGACTGGGCAGCAGCATTCTTTGAAGACAACCAGTCCAAGTAGGAGCTCACCTGGGTTGTGTGCATTTGCAACGTCGTTTGTCTAGTATAGGTCTCTTCTGGGCCCACGATGATGTCCAGGGACGTAACAGTAGTTTCTTTGCCATAAGTGTTGGTCATACTGATAGTAGCAGTGTAGTCGTCGTTTGCAAGCGTGAAGGTGGTGAGGTGGGTACCGTCGGTTGGCAAAGTGGTGGCCTGGCCAGTGTATGGGTCAGTTCTGGTCTTGGTGTAAGTTCTGTCGTTATCAGTGAAGGTCATGGTGACGGTGATGGACGAGTCAGCGGCAGAAACACCAGCCACGGCAGCAGTGGCAGCAAGAAGAGTGTTGGAAAGCTTCATGGTTGTTAGGGTTGTAAGAGATGGTTGAGAGGATAATGGGAGGAAGAGTCCTTTAAATAGTGAAAAAGATTGCCACAAGAGAACGCCATGAAAAGCTTGTCTAGGGGATTGGGAAAGCCGATCGGTCGTCTTACAAGGATTGTTCCAAGAAAGCTGTGTTCGTCCAAGACTTGGTTTTCCCCAAGCTTCATTATGTATATGGTGTAAGACATCACCAGAATGGGCTTGGCAAGGTTCTTTGTCAAGGCTGCAAGAATGGAGTAGATTAATCTGACAACGCCAGATTATGCCAAGGCAAGTGGGATGTAGGCAAATTGCATTACAATAGAGGCCAAAAGTGTGGGAATATCCTTGGAAAAAGACGATCTTGGGTTCCCAGAACACCAGGAGCAATTTAATTGCGTTACAGGCGATTCCTTCTGTTTTGTAAATGATAAAGGGTTTTTAAGAGTAGAGAAATATTTAAAAAATTACTGAAAATTAAGACTAATTTTCTAAGATCTAAAAGATAAGATAAGCTATCACAGGTGCATGCGTTTGGCACATATCTACATTGATTAAACCAAAATAGGACGAAATCAAACATTCATTTCTAAATATCCAAAATTCTTACAAAAGCAAAGCGGCAGCAATACCCACGGCGGCACTTCCAACGCCAAACTTGACAGCACCTCCAGTAGCAGACGTAGTATCTTGGGTGGTCTCAGCATCCGAAGTAGTAGTGGCTGTAGCACCACCATTATCTTCGTCAATAGCAGACTGGGCAGCAGCATTGAAACGAGACTTCGAAGACAAGTAAGCTTCCACTTCAGTAGTGTGCATTGTACGAGACCATGGTCTGGTGTAGGTTCTCTCAGGCCCAGTAACGATCTTATCAGTCTTGACAGTGGTAGCCTGGCCATAAGTATCAGTCATGGTTCTGAAAGGTACCAGGCCACGGTAGATAGTTTCCGTGTGAGTTCCAGCAGTAGGAGTGGTGGTTGGCTGGCCAGTGTATGTCTGGGTAGCGGTTCTGGTGTAGGTTCTGTCGTTATTGGTGATGAAGTTGGTGACGGTGATCATGGTTGGAGATGTCTCAGCGGCAGCAACGCCAGCGGCAGCGGCAACAACGAAAGGGGTAGAAAGCTTCATATTATTCTTTTTTGGGGTTTCTAGTGGCATTCCCAGGGGCATTAGACCCATTAAATAGTACCCAAGGTTCAGCCGATACGGAGAAGGCTACAACCAGACAATCGGGCTCAGGATAAGACTCCAGACTTGGCAGGGCTTGTCTTGCCTGGAAGAATAATGGAGAGCCAGAAAACGACGATTATCAAGACTCGCCAAGAGGTGAAGGTGGCCTAGGGATATGTGAACAAGCTCTAGGCGCATAGACTTAATCTTGGACAAAGAAAGCAGATGCTACTACATCAAACTGGCCCAAAAGGCATAGCTGGGTAATACAAGATAATTTCAATCTACATTGAATGTGAAGCACTCTTTATAAAACAAATACACATATTATTAATCGCTAATCAACAAGGCAATTTACAAAAGCAAAGCGGCAGCAACACCGAATGCACCGACACCAGCACCGTACTGCAAAGCGTTACCAGCACCGTCAGAAGAAGACGAAGAGCCGGAAGAGCTGGAAGAGCTGGAGCCGCCGCCGTTCTTGGAGTGGTCCTCAGCAGCCTTAGAAGCAGCAGACAAGTGGGAGGAGTGGGACTCCAAGAAGCTGGAAACCTCAGTGGTATGCATAGCGGCAGTCATCAGCTTAGTGTAGGTCGCATCTGGACCAGAGATGACTCTGTGGGTGGTGATGGTGGTAGCCTGACCGTAAGTGTTGGTCAAGAGCTTGACACCGTTAGGCTTGGAGATAGTGAAGGTGTAAGTACCTGAGGTTGGCTCAGTAGTGGTCTGACCAGTGTACTCTTCGGTATTGGTCTTGGTGTACGTCATGCCATTGTTGGTGATAGTTTTGGTCAAAGTGACAGAGGAGGCAGCAGAAGCAAGACCAGCAGAAGCAGCAAGAAGGATGGCAGAGAATTTCATTGTTTGATGATGAAGAAAAGAAGAAGAAAAAAAAGAAGAAGAATTCTTGGACTCTGGGCCCGCCAGGTTTAAATATCCATTAAAAATTGGAACGGCTCATGGCTACTTCCCAGCGAGGAGATGGCTGCAAATTGCAAATTCCGATCGGGTTTCGAGCCGAAGCCCCATGTTTGAAAATGACAACTTTTCAGTGGTCAGTGGCTCGTAAGAAAGAACAGCTTCTTGGCACACGTCTATTGTTTGATCCAATAGATAATACAGCGTATACAGCTTCTTTGGGAGACGCCAATCCTAGAAACACCACATAGCAAATTGCCAAGAGAGACGTGGGTTCTGCGTCAGACAATGCCTTCAACTGGAAGCCTCTGGCCAAAACATGCATCTTTCTCGCTAGACAAGGCTTCAATTCCGCATGTCAACGCTACGGCATGTCTCTGGCAGTTCCAGCTTCCAATGAAAGACGTGCTTTTTTTGCCGTACGAGCCTGTCAAAGCCTCATGCTCCATCAAGGAGAGAGGTATTATGGATCACAATCTGAGATACGAGGCTTGGGGAAGGCTTTTTCCAGGAAGGTTGTGAGTGGTTTGCCAGACCCTGGGCCAAGCTTACTTCATTTCAACTGTCAATGTTCCAAGCCCCCAGCAGCCCATTCAAGTGTCTATGAAAAACAAAAAACACTATAGAGTCTGTGAGGCGGCTATTACGTCTCGCCAAGCGAAACCGTGTCCCACGGTTGCAAATATGCATTGAAACGCACCTTGCTACATGAATTCCACTAATCAGATTCATCTACAATCACGGCAATTTTAAATCAATTAACATTAACAATTAACAATTAACAGTAGCTAAGCTGCTTACAAAAGGAGGGCAGCGGCAATACCAAAGGCACCGACACCGGCGCTGACCTTCAAGGAACCAGCAGCACCGTCAGCGGTGGTGGAAGAGTCGTCCTTGTCGTCGTCCTTGTCATCGTCCTTGTCATCGTCCTTGTCGTCCTTGTCGTCCTTGTTGTTCTTGTCGTCAGCAGCAGCCTTAGAAGCCTCAGCCAAGTGCTTAGAGTGGGACTCCAAGAAGTCAGAAACCTCAGAGGTGTGCATGGCCTGAACATATGGCTTGGTGTAGGTCTCGTGTGGACCAGAGATGACTGTGTTGGTGGAGATGGTGGTAGCCTCACCGTAGGTGTTAGTGATAATCTTGGTGTAGGTACGATCTGGCAACTCGACAACGTTGGAGTGGGTGTAAGTACCAGAAGTTGGGTCAGTGGTTGGCTGACCAGTGTACTTGTCAGTACCCTCCTTGGTGTAGGTCATGTCATTGTTGGTGATGGTCTTGGTCCAGGTCCAAGAGTCACCTTCAGAGAGTTCGGCAGAAGCGACAGCGGCGGCGGCAGCGAGAACAATTGGGGTAGAGAACTTCATAATTGGAATTTCTTGATGAAGAAAAATTGTAATTTCGTGGGAATTTGCTGAGTTTAAATATTCCACTTTCTCTGGGCCAGGACCCGGCCATGGTGACGGTTAATGGATCACAAACCTGGAAAGTCACTTTTTTCTTTTCTCAAGTTTGTGGAAGTTTGGTATTTGCTTTCCCGGCCTATTTGGCTTTAGGGCATTTTGAGGTTTTTCATGATTTTATTGGCATTTTTTTCTCTTCTGGATTTTGCATAATGCACCATATGAGCTTGACATACTTCTTGGCGCCGTCATTGTGGATGATGGAAAACGGATCTGGAATTGTGATTCTGTTATGGAACCTGGGAAAGATATACCTTGGATTCCATGAGATGGAGGAGAGCCAGGAGAAATACTTCCAGCAACAACTATTTCGTGAGGAGCAATATTGGAGGACTTTTCATGATGTTAAGGTTTTGTACTTTTTTTTGAGGTTTTTTTTTTCAGCATAAGCCGCATGTTCATGCATGGACACTAAACGCATGTCAAGAAAATCACCCTGCAGGTGCGTCTGCGGCCACTCTTATTGTTGCACTTTACTATACATGTTGCAAAGCCAAGTTCCATAGAAAGTTATCAGATTGCACAAGATGCCTGTAATTACCCACTCCTTTCGGTCGGGATTGGCTGGGCCCACCATACGGCCATGACGCAAAAGTGGGCCACTTTTTTTTCTTCAGAATTCTGTCTTTTTGCCAGTCTTACAGTGTACCTCCCTCGGCGTTCCGTGGAAAACCGAAGTACCAAGTCAAATGCTAGGGCTTCCAGCCTATCATGTCTCGGTGCGGTGGCTTGGCTACGGACCTCGTAAGGGAAACAATATATTAAGTAGAATTAGAACATGTAGCTGGAACCGCTAGACGAGTGAGCTTTCAGCACGCTTACAAAAGCAAAGCAGCAGCAGCACCAAAGGCACCAAGACCGGCACCGTACTGCAAAGCGTTACCGGCACCGTCAGAAGAAGAAGAACCAGAAGAAGCGGCAGTGCTGGAGCCACTCTCAGTAGCAAAGCTGGAACCACTAAACTTAGCGTGAGTCTTAGCAGCCATAGTACCGTGCTTGGAGGTGAACTCGTCAGCCTCAGAAGCAGCAGACATCATAGACGAGTGAGAGGACAAGAAGCTGGACACTTCGGAGGTGTGCATAGCCTGAACCAAAGGTCTAGTGTAGGTTTCATCAGGACCAGACACGACCTGGTTGGTAGTGATAGTAGTGGCTTGACCGTAGGTATTGGTCATGGTCTTGAAACGGGTGCTCTCGCCCTTTTCGTTTGTGAAACCTATGGTGGTGGTCACTGTACCGGAGGTTGGCTCGGTAGTTGCTTGGCCAGTGTAAAGCTCGGTACCTTCCTTGGTATAAGTCATATCATTATTAGTAATAGTTCTGGTCCAAGTCCAGGAGGAGGACAGGGAGTCAGCAGCAGTGGCAAGGGAGGCAGCAGCAGCAAGGACAATTGGAGTAGAGAACTTCATAATATAGGGGTTAATGATAATAAAAAAAAGTGGAAAATCAGGGAAAATCGGTGTGTTTAAATATTGCAATCGGGACAACCAGCTCAAGCCGAGCCGGGGCCAGAAACCGGTCAACGGAGAATAAAATACTTCTTTCAATTTGCCGCCTCTCGTGGTTATACCTTTCTGGATAGTTGGGGTCCGCCCGGGATTGACAGGATTGGTTGAATTTGGCGGCACCTCGACTTGAAAGGTGCCAAATGAGCTTGACATATTTCTTGGCACTGGTATTGTGTAAGTTTTTGAAGCAAATCTTCGTGAAAACACGTCAAATGAAATTGCGAAAATGAGGCCTAGAAAATTGGAAAAACCTGGTACGGGCTAAAGTGCCCCATTTTAGTACTCCTGGTCAAGTTGGATTTTCCTAAATCTGCTTCGTTCTACCTCCAAAGCAGCTCAAGTAAATCTGAAGGACCGCCGCACAACGCGCATCGCCTAATTGGTTGTCAAGGCGTACGACGTGCATGGAGTGGCAGCATTGTATGGCACCTAATGGCGAATAATTGAAGTTATCTGATCAGATCAGTGTATTGAAAGTCGTGCAAAGAGGAATTTACGGAAGCGAGATTGCGTTTTCTTCTTGACACCATAGAAGATTCTGCTAAAATATTGGAAGAAGAATATGGTCTGGTTATAAAATGGAGAGATAAACCGTAGTTTACTTGAAAAACGGAGTATTTAAACCATAATTCACCGTATCCGTGGAAGCTTGGGGTTGCTACGGTCTTGTGGAAAATTTCAAAAATTAAGCATTAAGCACTATGAAAAGCAAAATTTGTACATAGAAAAAATTAACTCAAGCAGTCCATTGGACACGGGCACGCTTACAAAAGCAAAGCGGCAACGGCACCAAAAGCACCGAGACCAGCACCGTACTGCAAGGCATTACCAGCGTTGCCTGAGGAGCCAGTCTTCAGTTCAGATTTGAATTTGTCGTGAGACTTAGCAGCATCAGTACCGTGCTTAGCAGTGAACTCGTCAGCCTCAGAAGCCTCAGACATGTGCTTAGAGTGGGAGGACAAGAAGCTGGGAACTTCACTAGTGTGCATGGCATTGACAAAAGGTCTGGTGTAGGTTTCATCTGGACCAGAAACGACGTGATCGGTGGTGATGGTGGTGACCTGGCCGTAGGTGTTAGTCACATACTTGTAACGGGTGCTACCGTCGTTGACGAAGGTCACGGTGTTGGTGTAAGTACCAGAGGTTGGCTCGGTGGTTGGCTGGCCAGTGTATTTAGTAGTTCCTTTCTTGGTGTAAGTCATGTCATTGTTGGTGATGGTTCTTGTCCAAGTCCAGTCATCGCCCAGGGAAAGCTCGGCAGAAGCGACAGCGGCGGCAGCAGCAAGCACGATTGGGGTAGAAAACTTCATAGTTGGCAAGATTATAATTTTGGGATAAAAAAAATTAGGAAAATGGTGGGAATTTTGCAGTGTTTAAATATTCCAGTCGGGACTTCGATCCACGAAGCCGAGACGGTTCACAAATGAGCCAGGGAGCTGCAAAAGGATTCTTGGAAAGCAGTTTGTGGTACTTGCTTTAGCATTTTTGCTTTCGGCATAATTTGGATGTGATCATTCGGAAACACTTCGTCTGGATACCTGCCAATGTGAACTTGACATGCCTTGGCACGGTATTGTGTTTCGTTTGTCCAGCAAGCGGCATATACAGACGATGCTTTATAATGGGCCTAAAAAGAACGGGAAAAAAAGAGCAGAACATGAAAAGCGTAGCCTTGACGGCTGTAGATCGCCAGAGAAAGTCCTCTTTTGCAACCAGAGCTGGAACCAAACCATGCCCAGGGCTTCTTCCAAGGATTCTTGATGATGAGCCGCACAGATGCAACCTTTCCAAATGCCAGTCAAGAAATTTGACGTGCATTGAGTGGCAGCACCCTCTGTCACTCAAGAAGTAGAAAACACATTATCAGATAAGATCAGAAGGTGTCAAGAGATGACAGAAAATGACAGAAGTGGGGGTTTTTAGATTTTGACAGATGGAGAAACGTCATGTTATCAGCATGGATTCAAAAAGTGATAAACGCCTGAAACCAGCATCGAATAACGTCCAATACTTCCATAGCTTCCAAGGTGGAGCCTAGGCTGAAAATCACACGTCATGTAGAAAATCTTGATATGCATTGCTACTATTATGTGGAAAATTCAATTATGTATTAAAAGTCAAATTTGTACATCTAAAAGTAACACAAGCGGGCCCGCACGCTTAGAAGAGCAAAGCAGCAGCAACACCGAAAGCACCAACACCAGCACCGAGCTGCAAAGCGTTACCAGCACCGTCAGAAGAAGACGAAGAGCCGGAAGAGCTGGAAGAGCCGGAAGAGCCGGAACCAGAAGAAGAAGCAGCCTGGGTCTCACCGTTGTTGTGGGCAGAGACGGAGGAGTACCAGTCAGTAACCTCAGACTTGTGGACAACAGCAGTGTGTGGTCTGGAGTAAGTCTCATCTGGACCGGAGACAAGCTTGTTGGTGGAAACAGTGGTAGCCTGACCGTAAGTGTTGGTGATGATCTTGTTACCGTTTGGCTTGGAGATGGTGTAAGTGTAAGTACCGGCGGTTGGCTCGGTGGTCTCCTGACCAGTGTAAGTCTGGGTGTTGGTCTTGGTGTAGGTCATGTCATTGTTGGTGACGACGGTGGTGGTGGTGTAAACCTCACCAGAAGAAAGGTCGGCAGCGACGACAGAAGCAGCAGCAGCAAGAACAATTGGGGTGGAGAACTTCATTATGATTGTCTAAGAAAATAGGTTTTGGGTAAGAAATAAACTTGAAGCACAGAGGCAAGGCAGGCCTTTTAAATACTTTTTGTGGGCGCTTTTTCGACACACTAGCGGCTAAGATGAAAAGAATCAGCCGCCAGGGATCTTCAATTCCGGCTGGTATTGGCTATTTTTTCATTTTGGGCTACTATCATTGGAGGTGAAGATTGGTTTGTGGAAGGTTTCTTGCATGGTACGCATAGTTAAAGGCTTGGCGCAGGTCGTGCGGCTCGACGCACAAAGATGCATTAGATAATTTGTTGGAGGCAACAAACAGAAACAGCCGCTGTACCCTGGGGCTTTGTGCTTGCTGCCTGAAAATTCGTGTGCTGCGATGAGCTCGCGATGCCCAGCGGGTGCTGAAAAATGAGCTCACTAGGCCCACTGAGTGCCGAGTTTCATACGTGGAATCCACAATTTCACTGGTAGAACGACGTCCTGCAGGCAGCCACGCCAAGATTGACTCGTACGTCAAGGCAAAATGACAAGCTTTCAACCTCCTTTATGCCGCACCGAAAACAGCAAAGTACCTTTTTTCACCCCGGCAAAACTACCTATTTCCCGGAGACCCGGCTCCATACTAAGGCCATTGACGACATATAATAATAAACCCACATTCTGTGCCCCGCACTACCCGCCCCACCGCCAAATAATATTCCCCCATTACCTCAAGCTCGCTACATTTATCTGATCCATCTCAGTACAGCGCGTAAAGCAACTAAATCCATTTTTTCTTAGCCCTCTGTCGTTTTGTCCACCGTGGGAGTTTTCCACTTGCCCAATAGGAGTTACCAATTCTGGACTCAAAATTACCTGCTTTTCGGTACCTTCTCTTTGACCTTCTTCTTCTACCACCTCGCTCTGTACACTCCCATCTGCCAGGGCCCAGTTGCTCTTTGTCCAGATTTCCATACATAGAGATTGTCTACTTTCCCACAATTCAGCCAATCTCCGACTCGGCGACTGGGCATCCGAACGGACCATCTCGCTCACGCCATAGTGGCAAAAAGAGTAATAAAAAAAAAAAAGCCAAGCCAAGCTTACTAAACCAAGAAAACCAGACCCTGGGAGCCACGGAATATGAGTGGAGCGGTTGTACTATTTAGGAAGGTGTTCAAGTTTCTGGGCAAATAGGAACACCAAGAGTTTGGGGGAGCCGGGTTCCCGACGGTTTTTGGCCAATGACAGGTGGGAAAAATAGCCCGCCGTTCGTAATCTGGTTTCTCTTTTCGGTATGGTGATGTCGACGTTATTTTTCTTTTTTTTTTTTTTTTCTCGGTTGGCGTGGATTTGCATTGGTTTTATGGTTTCGGCTTTGTGACAGGCGCTAGCCGTTTGGGAATTGGGAACTTGGTGCTGGGGGAGGTAAACAGCCAGTAGAAACGGTTCGTTTAGCGGTGTCTTTTCTGGGGCTTTTTTTCTTGTTTTCCATGTGGGTTATCTGATGGCATTATCTGATGGATCTTTTGCAGCCATATGAAGAAACGTGGCTGCCCGCCCTAAAATGCTGTTTTTCTTGGAATGCTGGGTGCCTATGATTTGTTGGAAGCTATTCGGCCCATGACCTTCTGTTGGCTAGCTACCATTCTTCATTCCATTGGGCAATGCAAGGGTGGTGGCTTTTCGCTTAAGCGATGCCGGTGAAGGCCATAGAAAAAAAGGAAGAAAATGGGTCATTTGTAATGGAGATCGCCGTTTTGTGCCACTTTCGTTTTTTTTTTCTTTTTTGTTCCTTGGGTTTCTTCGCTACCGTCGCTTCCAGAATGGCTTTGGTGATCCCCGGACGATCTGCACATTCTATTTTGCAGCCATTCCTCTGCTACACCGTTTGATCTCCATATGGCCTTGTTGGTGGTCTGGGATGATATTCAGGGCCAGGGACAACGGTATGATCCAGCCAGGCCCCCCTGGATCATGGGTATCGCCGTGGAATTGTCCTACTCGCCATAGCCTCATTGGTGGTGTGCTGTGGATCTATAAAACGTAGAATGTTCTTTCGTTTGGAGCTTTCCCACCATCAAAATGCTTCCATTCGTTACTCTATCACTCATTTTGGGCTCGACCCAGGCGCTCACTTTGCCTGTTCGTTGGTCAAACGAGACGTTTGCTCCTCTGGGGTACTCTCTGGTTGAACCATCTTCAGGAGAAACTACATCTTTGGTGCCTTCCATGGCTCCTACTTCTGATGGTTCTGGCAGCTCTCTTGCTCCTACTTCTGATGGTTCTGAAGGCTCTGGCAGCTCTTCTGCTCCTGCGATGTCTTCTGGGCCTTCGCTGGCTCCTCAGACTGAGTCGGACCCGGTGAGTAATGCTGCTTCTACGCCAGCACTGTCTTTCCAAGGCAGTAACGCTGGAAACGCTTCTAGTCCTGCTACTGATTCGCCAGATACGGGCTTGCCAGGCGCCAGTGGAGCTCCTTTGGAGTCTGGACTGGGATCTCCAGGAACTACTCCAGCTAGTACTGAACCTGGGCAATCTGCTGCTTCCCAAAGACCCACCCCAGCGTCTGCTGGCGTTCAGCTGAGCCCACAGACTGCTTCAAATGGTGCTTCTACTGTTCCTCCTTCTACTCAGAATGCCTCTGCTGCTCCAGGCTCTTCTACTGGTGATGTACCAGGTGCTTCTAGTCCAGAAGGTTCCAGTACTCCAACTGATGCTGTTTCTGGAGGCTCTCCTTCTGGAGGCTCTCCCTCTGTAGGCTCTTCTTCTGAAGGTTCTCCAGATGCTGCTTCCCAAGCTACATCGCCAGCTGCTGGTACTCAGGGAACTCCACAGACTGGTTCTACTCTCCAGAACGACATGTCTACTCCAGGCTCCCCTGCTGCCTCTACTCAAGCTACCACCTCTCCAGCAGCTTCTGCTCCAAATGAAGGTCCAGAAAGTGCTGCTCCTACTCAAGCTGCTCCAGAATCTACTGGCATTTCCACACAGAGACCATCTACCCAAGCTGCTCCAGGCCAGGAACAACCCACTCAAGCTGCTCCAGGCCAGGAACAACCCACTCAAGCTGGGTCTCCAAACCAAGGCCCTGGTGATGATGATGGCTCTTCTCCTAAGTCTACTGATAACGATAATGGAGGAGCTTATGCTACTGACTACGCTACTGCTTACGGTACTGATCCTGCTATTGCTAGTGCTTATGCATATACTGAAGACGGTTATGGTCAAGAGACTGCTGCCCAGGATGATCCATTGCCAACAGATCTGTCTGACCAGGAGACCGGTGGCTTCCCAGGCTCTTCTGGTGACTCTCCAAACGACGGTAGCTCCCCAGGTACTTCTGGTTCTGGACAAGGTGAAGAGCCTGGAGCTAACCATACGGGCGGTGCTGGAGAGGACCCAGAACAGGTTCCTGGTCAGCCAGGTACTGACGGTTCTGGTGATGTTCCAAACGACACTACTGACGGTAGCTCCAGCCCCGGCAGCTCAGGCAATGACTCTGGATCTGGTTCACAGGGTGGTCGTCCTGACTCTGGAGACGATCAGGGTAGCACTGGCACTGACTCGCTGGATGGACAAGATGATGGAACTAACGCTGGAAACAGTCCAGGCAACGCCCCAGGTGACGCCCCAGGTGACGGGAACAGCTCTCCACAAGAGCCAGGCAGCTCTCCAGGTAACCCTAGCGATGGTTCTGGTAACCAGCCATGGGGTGGTGATGACAATGGCTCTGGGAATGGAAACCCTGGTAATGGAAACCCTGGTAATGGAGAACCTGGCAATGGTCCTGAAAATGGTCCTGGCAATGGCTCTGGAAATGGAAGTCCCGACTTCGACAGAACCACTACGGTGGTTGTAACCAATGCTGGGTCTCCTACTCAACCAAAGTCACCCAACAGTGCTGCTCCACGTACATCTACTGCTGCTGGTGCTCAAACAACTGCTGGAGGTCAGAAGACTGATACCACTGCAGCTCCAGTGCTTCCTTCGTCTTCTGCTGGAGGTATTGGAAATAACAGCACTGTTCCATTCCCAGCAAACTCCACAATGCCTTCGAACTCCACTGGCCCTATGACGACATCCAACTCGTCTGCTCCATTCACTCAGTTGTCCAGCACTTACTCTGAGCCTTCTTCTGATGGTGCTCTTTACGGCTTCGCTTGGTTCTGAAGACCATGACTTTCGTTTTCTTTTTGTCCCACCTACATCGGTATCATCCATTCGTTTAGCTTATGGCATACATATGAGGAAATTTATTTTGCATTCTTGAAGAACCTGCTTCCTTTTGTTTCCTGATTATCATCGCTGTCGTACTGAGGCGGCGCTGGCATGTACTCTGGTAATTGCTCGTGCTCTCCTCCGTTCAAGTATGGTACGTTGCCCTCGGAGCCTTCTTGTCTGTAGAAAACTATCGGAGACGTGCTCTTGATCTGTATGGGCTTGTCTGGGTTGTCTGGAGAAACGATGGTTAAGCGAATGTATAGCTCGACGTTCTTTCGTATGCTGCATGTCAAGAACGACTGGCCGATGTCATTGACGTAGCAGTCCCACCACGAAGGATCTAGACTCAACCGGTAGCAGATATTCCTGGCTATTTTGTCGTGGTACTTGGAGGATGTCTTGAAGAACAAGTCTGTTCCGTTGTACTCCTCCCTCTCGAAATCACTAAGCGGCACCTCCACGTCAAGGTTCTGGTTTAGAAGCTCGTGCTTGATTTTCAGATGGGTTTCGGTGGCACCGAGAAACCTTAGCAACAGAATGAGTTTCACCTTGACATGTGTGATTCTCACCACTGGCGACTTCAAAACGCCCTTCTTCTCTGCCTTGTTCCCGCCAAGAGCATCCAAGAGATTCTGGTGAGAGAATGGGGTAGTTAGGTCAAGATCAATGAGAGTAGAGAGTCGTTTGCCGCCTTCTAGCACTCTGCTGGTGGTTCCTTTCTCTGTCTCGGCCGGCGAGACACTCTTAAACCTCACCTTAAGCTCAAATGGCACCTTCACAGCGTTCGAAGATAACAACTTCCTGAAAAAGCTCTTACCCTCTTTGGCCTCGTCGCCAATGCCGTACTTCACCTTCTGGCACGCGTAGTCTTCATCTCCAAGAAGCTTCTTTGACTTATCACAAATATGTAGAAGACTAAACACAATGTCAGTGTTGCGAGGCGCAAAGTAGACCGGCTCCGAGTGCTTGATGTCAAATCGAAACATCAGCGCCATGTTGATCTTGGCATCGATACTATATTGCACAAAACAGTAGTCCTCTGAGTTCTCCTGCTGATAGAAACTGCCCACAAGCGTCACCGCATCTCGTTTGTCCCTGTTCAAGTAGTACTTCGAATGGAAAGTCTTCTTATCCTGAACACACTGCGCCACATGTTCGATCCCTGGAAACGTAAACTCAAACGGATAACTGTACTCTCCATTGGTCAATGTGAACTTCTTGGAAGACGACACATTCTGGATATCTGGCGGAGGAAACACCTTCGCCGTCAATTGCAAAAGCCTATGGACCTCCAGCCCAGCAGTATACGAGCCATTGTTGTAGGTATGGTTTCTGGATTTGGCGATGCCCAAAAGTGACACTTCCAAGGATTCAAGGTTGAGTTGGTCTTCCACTGTCAATTGCACGTTGCCCTTGACGGTGTCGCCGGTGGTGTATAGTTGGGGGTTTTCGATGTATATGGCGAGATTTGCTTTGGACATTGGTGGGATCTAAGAAAGACCCTGATCTGGTGTTTTCTTATATATGGAAGGAAGTCATTGTTCTGCGAAAGGGTATTAGTGGATCGAGCTCAGCCGTGGGGCTTTTGGTGACAGCTTCTGTGGTGCACGGGTTTCTTTGAAAACCCTACAAATCAACCCCCATAACCGGGTTTTGTTGGTCTGGGGGACGTTGGAGGGCACTGTGTGGTGTATCGGGTAGTGGGATTTTGCGTGTAGTGGTGCTGGTTTAGTGGAAAGATGGAGGTTTGATGTTCATCGTGCGGATACCTTAGGCAAAGGCCGTGTAAGCGCATCGGCCCAATGAAGAGCCGATGTCAAGGTGATACGGTGGAAATTTGAAGGGCTTATGTCAAAGCCATTGGCGGTTTCTTTGAAACTATAGGGCTTTCCTGGTAGTACATGTCTTTTCTGGTAGTAAAGGTAGGCTTTGCTTGTGGATTAGTGTGGCTGGGCAGAGGCTGATGAAGGGCGTTAACTGAAAGAATATTTGATACTTGACCGACTCTGTTCAAGGAAAGAGTATCAGTCGTCCAGCAATAAGCGATTTAAACCCTGTGAGCTAAACCTGCGTTTCTGCTCTACTTTTGTACCACCTCACTGAGGTTCTTGCTTAACTATGGGTGAAAATCGCAAATCCATGGAACAGCCATAGAGAAGCACCAGGACGAGCAGTGCCAGTGAAACTTGTATTGCCGGTTTGCTGGCCCCTTTTAAGCTAATCTAGCGAATTTGAAGACATTTTCATTTGTTTTCGATTTTTAAGCACTTGTTGAAGATTGTCATTTTTGGTTCTTCCTCGAAAGTACACTAATTATACGAAATGCGACCCTCCATTACCACTTACAAGAACCTTATAAACTACGCCTACGTAGTAAAAGCCTTATTCTTTGTTTTCCAACGACTTTTGACCCTGGTGGTCCCCTTGCAGCGCAATTGAAGCGTTTCTGCCCTCCAAGCCGTACTTAACGGAAAGGTTGTCCAGAAACCGAAACCGGTCTCCCAGTGAACCACCGTTCCAACAGACTACTTCTACATCTCTCTCAAATCAAACATACATTTTTACTACTTAGCGTCCACGCCATCAGTAGTTCCAGATCTGGTGTGGGTCGTGGGCACCGTTGAAAGCAAGCCTGTTAGGAGTGCCCTCAGGAAGGTCCTTGATCACATCCTTGGTGGAAAAGTTGATAAGCTGCTTCTTAAGGTCGTTGGGCGTAACGTTGGCGTTGAACTCGGACTGCAAGTCTGGGTGCAAAGAAAGGAAGTACGAGATCAAACCAGTGACATGAGGTGCAGCCATAGACGTACCAGTCATGGCTCTGGTGTCGAAGAGAGTCCAAACAGAACGGATATCGGTACCTGGAGCGTAGATATCGACACATGGACCGAAGTTGGAGATCGTTTCTCTGTCGTCGTTTATGTCTGTGGCACCAACAATAAGGGCTTCAGACTGAACTAGGGTGCTGTGACAAACATCTTCCTGGTCATTACCAGCAGCACCAATAAGATGAACACCAGCATCAATCAACGAGTTGGCAGCGCCAGTGACAGAACGGGCGCTGATTTTACCAACAGACAAGTTGGCAGTAGAGCCTTTGAAGCCAGGAATGTTTGCAGCCACCTGCTTCTTGTGCTCTTGTTCGACAAACTCCAAGCCCTTGACGATTTTCGAAGCCAAGACAAAACCAAACATCGTGGCAATGTTAACTGCAACGAGGTCCACCTGCTTGGCTACACCGTAGGTTTTGGAACCAACAATACCTGCCACATGAGTGCCGTGACCAGCAAAATCCTTCTGGCTCCAAGGGAACTGGAAAGCAGCGCCAAACGTGGCTCTGCCTTCAAATTCTTCCTTGTAGGCTTCAATACCACTGTCCACGATATAAGCAGTGACGCCCTTACCGCCTTTGTCGTCATAGATGTAGCTTGAGTTGGAAGGTCTCTCACGGCTGGAGATTCTGGAAAGGCCCCAAGTAGCATCTTCCTGACTGACAATACCAGAAAGGTCCACCTCTTCGTCTTCTTCAACGTTCTTCACCAATGGGTTCTCCTTGATCTGGTCCAAAACCTCCTCGTCAAAGTATCCCAGGTATCCCTTGAATTTGGAGAAGTCAAAGAACTCCACCTCGCCTTCGTCGCCTTCTGGAATAGCGTCTCTCTTCACACCGTGCTCCACAAGACCGGCAATCCATTCTGCGTCCTGCTTTCTCTGTTCAACAGTGGTGTCCTCGTAGTAGGTAACAATGTATCTAGAAGGAGCAGGCTTAGACACTCTGAGCAAAGGAGCTGGGCCGTTTTCTCTCTTGGTACGTGGGACAACGTCTCTTTGTACTTCAAGGTTGGAAACGACCTCAGACTCGCCAGTCAATGGAATCACTGCAGCAGTTGCAACACTTGCAACCAAGACAGATACAGAAAGGTTCAGAAGCTTCATGGTTGATTGGTGAAAAGGAACTACATCAGGGAAAACGCTACCACTTTATATCCTCCGGAACGAACACATGCTAAAGGTTGGAGAGAAACTTCTACCGTAGGCACCATGTGGTAACTGCAATATTCGTGTTGAAGCTGCTCAATTGCCTACGTAGGTCGCTTAACATTACGTATTCGCTTAAAGTGGACCAAACGTTGGAGAGGAGCAATGGTTTTCCGTCTTTTCTTGTCCAGACAAGCAAATGAAGGAGCGGTCATCAAGGTGTAATTGAATAGGGGTCTCTTTAGTGTAAGTGAAGCACGCAAAACTGGTATCGAACGATCTGGACATGAGTAACAAAAGCATCAAGTGTTAGCAATGCCAAGACTTGGGAAGGAGTTTCGATATCGTTGTTGTGTCAGGTCTTTGGATTTGGCTTTTGAAGGTGAGGGAGGAGCATTGGATTAAAGCTGATTTACCGACCAAACTTAGACCACTTTCTTTCTCTATCAACCTCTCCAACCAAGGATTCTTCCACTCATTCTCACATTATCATATGTTGAAGCTCCGGGGCCAGTTTTGTGTCACATTCCTCTAAGCGCTTACCGCTATAAAGACCTCTACGGTTCTGGTTCTCTCCAGTCGACCAATAGGAACCTGGGGTTGCCAGTACACAAACCACTACGTCTAGTCTTACCTTCCATCAACGGTTTTCCCGGGAAACCAGACATATACGCTCTCACGTTTGTAACTCTGTGAAAGCTGTGTTCACACAAACCAACATGCTTGCTACACGTTTATATTGAAACGAGTGTAGAACTTGCTAGAAGGCAATGTTGCTTGGAGGTGGTGTAGGATCTGTGTCACCAAGGGTTCTAGAAAGTAGTTGAAGTAGCACAGTCGACAGGCCCTTCCGAGGCCCAGATGCCCATAGGCCCAGAGGCCCAGAAGCACATAAACGGAGCATCCAAAGAGGCAATCCAGGCCCAATACAGGTACTAAGCATGTCCAAACTAGGGTTACCAGATGAAAATGCTTCTTTTGGTTGCTTCTCACAGCCAGTACCATCCACTGGTGATACTACTAACCACCCAAGCCATTCGCTTAGCAACCGAACAAAAGCCTTCAAAAAAAAAAGCCTCTTTACGGCTCCTCGCTTTGCCTGGACCTTACCCAAGCCTTCTCCTTCCACTTCCCCCAAAATCCACACAGTTTAAGCCCCAAAGCCTTGCTACACCAGAAACCACCAGAAACCCACCATCCCAAAACCCACAAACCCACCTCCAACCACCAAATAACTTCCAAGGTTATCCAACGGCCCTCCCTGACTCGCCAAACATCCTCCACGTCAACCCACCGTTGGTCTGACATCACGCAATTTTGTGGCTCTTATTTTGCAGCCATGAGCCGCACTTTTCTGTTATCATGTCTTTAATAGTATCAATTGGTTGTCAGATACGATCGTGTGACGGTGCCGTTCCAGCCACAGTGGAAGCTTCTTTTGCTTCGTTTCGATCGGTGGCCCGATTTTCGATTTCTTCGTGAGTCAACGCAGGGTTACATAAGCTGCCATGCTGTGGATCGACAGTTCCCAAACGGCTGTCAGGAACAACCAGGGACAACACAGGAGGGGTGGAGAAGTGACATAGTAGGTTAAAGGTGTTTTTAACTTTTGGCTTCTTCTTCTTCTTCTTTTTTTTTTTCTCTTTTCGACTAATACTAAATCTGCCTTGTTGAGGCACTTTTGCCTGGAAGGTATCAGCAAAGCTTCCACCTTCGATGTTTGCCAAGGAGAACCTGTCATCCACAATTTCCAAACGCCAGCCGTACTTGGACGTGGCACCGTTATCAACCTTATTTTCTATGAAGGGCGTTACCAGGGTTTCTGCACTGGTGCTTAAGTGTTACCTTTTCAAGAACGATAATTCGAGGGTCCTCTAAACTTTTGCAACCAGTTAATTCAAGTTGCATCTTCCAGGGACCGGAATTATCCTCTGGCAAAAAGTATATAATACCCACAGCATGCTCTGGAACTAACCACAAACCAGCCTTACCATGAGCGAGCCTAAACCTTCTGAACAAGTAGAGCCCTCGTCTTCGGCTGCTTCCAGCTTCCCCAAGAAGAACAAAGTCGACGTAAATGTCCACGACTTGGAGTCTTACACTGAAGAACTAGAAGAAATCGATGACTACATCTTTGGCGCCGATAAGAACCTCTCCAGAGGTCTCAAGCAGCGTCACATTCAGATGTTGACCTTGGTGGGTGTTTTTGGAACTGGTCTTTTCTTGTCGAGTCGAAGAACGTTGCATTTGACCGGGAATGTGGGTATGATTCTTTCTTACTTGTTTATTGGTGTTCTTGTTGGTTTGAACCAGCTTGCCATGATCGAGATATCTTGTCTTATGCCTGTGACTGGGTCTTACATCAGACACGGTGAACACTTCGTTGACGGAGCGTTTTCGTTTGCTCTTGGCTGGGTGGGCATCTACCTGTCCATCATTCCAAGTGAGTTCTCTGCTACAGCACTTATTATGAGATACTGGAGTGACTTGAACCCTGCGGTGTGGGTTACGGTGTTTTTGGCGATTATCATTGTTTGCAACTGTTGGAAGGTTCGTTTTTACGGAGAAATTGAGTTCTTTTTTGGAATCCTCAAGATCCTTTTGATCCTTGGACTTATCATTTTCTCTCTTGTCATGGATCTAGGTGGAGTAAAGGGAGTTGACCGTATTGGGTTCCGTTACTGGAAAGAAACGCCTTTCAGGGAGTATTATACTGACGGAGGCGTGGGCAGGTTCCTTTCCTGGTGGAAAGCTTCTGGATCTGTGGTTTATGCTTATGGTGGTGTTGCTGGTATCTCATACTATGCTGGTGAAACACAGAACCCAAGACACTCTATCTATACAGCAGGAAAGAGAATTTTTTTTAGGGTGTTTGGCTTCTACATGCTTACAGTGTTTGGTCTTACCCTTATCTTGTCTGCTGAAAACCCTCAGATTGCTAACAGTACTGGAGACTCCACTGGCTCGCCTTTTGTGATTGCCATTAAAGATGCTGGTATTAAAGGCCTTCCAAGTATCATCAACGTGATTGTGTTGACTTCAGCCTTTTCTGCGTCCAACTTGGGTGTCATGTTATCTTCCAGAAACCTCTTTGCATTGGCTGCAAAAGGACAAGCACCACAGTTCTTCCTTAAAACCAACAGGTTCGGTTTACCTTACGTGGCTGTCATTGTATCCATTGGATTCATGCCTTTGGCGTATATGAACGCTAGTTCAGGTGCTGCCACAGTGTTTGGCTGGTTCCAGAGCATCACAAGTGCTAACCTTCTTGTTACATGGATAGCCATTTCAATCAACCACATTTCTCTCCAGAAAGCGTTGAAAGCTCAGGGTTACTCCAGAGAAGACTTGCCTTATAAGATGCCATTTGCCCATATTGGTGCTTATATTTCGTTATTTGGGTTCCTGCTTCTTCTCTTAACTGGAGGGTACCATAACTTCTTGAAAGGCAACTTCGATGTATCTTCGTTCATCAGTTCGTACTTTGTGATCCCACTCTACGCCTTTTTGTTCTTCCTCTGGAAGTTCTGGAAAAAAACCAAGATCAGAAAGTCCTCTGAGGTGGATTTGGTTTCCTTGTTCAGACATGTCAAGGAGAACCCAGAAACTATTCCAGGAAGGCACCATGGCTGGAGAATGGTCAAGTACCTATGGGAGTAGCACCATGGAAGATGGATCCACGAAGACGGTTCTCCGGGTAGCCAAATACGGTCCTGACGGTCTGGTGGTCCCATACTTTGCCAAGTCTGACGTCCACCGCCCCAGCCACCGTAAATGTAAACCAGCGTATATCGTTAAGAGATTTTTTAAACTGAAGCTGGCCCAGTCTAGGGCACGCAACGTTTCCTGTTTGTTTTCTTGGTCTTTAGTGTACCCCTCTACCAGATGTCTTCAGTACTCGGCCACAAAGCATTGATAGATGAACTGACCGCAGAAAAACGCCGTAGAACCCCTCGAAGCTGCTTATCCACCGATAAGATAAAAAAAAGAGCAGTTTGCAGTGGTTTCCTGTTTCTTCTTATCGTCTGTAGCACTGCTCCAGACTTAGTATCACCAACCAATTGTCCCCAGTAGATCCACCCAAACCTCACCAAACTTCCCAAACTCACCCGTTTCTTCTCCAACCACTCTCCATTGCCTTTAATGACCTCACGAACCCACCTAGATCACAATGGACGAGGCCCGTTGAAGACTCATCTCCATGCGGCGATTTCCAATCCTGCCAATTGTTATCAGCTTATCTGGCAACGCAGCCAATACTATCCTTTATATTGGTTTGTGAACCCCATATTTCTACATGCACCGTGCCGTGCCAAGATCGATCTGGCGTAGTTGGTGATGGTGTTTAAGTAGTTACTCCAGGTTAGGAGCACGGTGGGCGTCTACCATCAGCACCAATCCTTGGTTTTTTTATAAATTTACAGGTAAAATGTCTTTATCTCTTACTTCTATCCCTTCTTATGGCTCCTACTTCCCTAGAACCATCTAAACACCTGGGTGGGCCAAGAGCGCTGGGGCTTGGCATTCTTGTCATCTTTGTTGATACTCTACGATAGCAGCAGCGTTCAGTCAAGCAATGAAGGAAGAATAACTGGAGATTCTCTTTTCTGCGTATTTGGTATTTGGCGTCCCCGGGTATCTTTCTTGGCCTCCGTAACCGGGTTCACATGGAGGTCTTTATAAGGCAGCGTAGACCGTTCTCTATTTTGCAGCCATTAAAAAGTCAACCATGAAAGACGACTACGAAAAGAATATCTTAGAAAGCGATAATGTGTCTCGAAATACCGGGGAAAACTTAACCTTATCTGTGTCCCACCGGCCTTTGGAACAAACTGCCGATAACCAGAAACTAAGAAGAGCTTTGGACGCCAGACACTTATCGATGATTGCTATTGGCGGAGCACTTGGAACTGGTTTGTTGATTGGAACAGGCTCTGCTTTGAGAACAGCAGGTCCAGGTGCTATTTTCATCAGCTACTCAGTGATTGGGTTTGTGGTGTTCATGGTTTTAAGTGCATTGGGCGAAATCGCTACTTTCATTCCCTTGGCTGATGGTTTTGCTGGTTATTGCAGAAGGTATGTTGATGATGCCCTTGGATTCGCCTGTGGATGGACGTATTTGCTTCTTTTCTTGTTGGTGCCCGCCAACCAGTTGGTTGCTGGTGCTTTGACCATGCAATTCTGGCTAGACGAGGAGAGAGTCAACCCTGGCGTATGGATAGCGGTGCTTCTTGTGGTGATTACGTTTATTAATGTTTTGGGCGTTCGTTTTTTTGGAGAAATCGAATTCTGGTTTTCTGTCGTCAAAGTGGCTACTTGTCTTGGTCTTATCATCTTATTGCTTGTCATTGCCTTGGGTGGCTCTCCTACTGGAGATAGACTTGGTTTCAGGTACTGGCAGGACCCAGGAGCGTTCAAGGAGTACGCTGAGCCTTCACGAGGGCTACACGTTGAAGGAGACGTTGGCAGGTTTGTTTCCTTTGTCTCTGTTCTTGTTACCAGTGTGTTTGCGTATATTGGCTGTGAGTTGGTGGGAATCACCTTCTCTGAATGTGCCAGACCACGTAAAGCCATTCCCAAAGCCATCCGGTTGACTTTCTACCGTATTGTCATTTTTTATATCCTCAACGTGTTGGTTTTGGGCATGTGTGTGCCCTCCAACGACCAAAGACTCTTGGGGTCAGAAACAGACCTTGCATCTGCATCGCCATTTGTGATTGCCATCAACAACGCCAGAATCGACGGCTTGGATCATGTCATAAACGCATGTATCTTGATTTTCATCACCTCTGCTGCCACAGCAGACATGTACATTGCTTCCAGAACCATATATGGGCTTGCCGTGGCAGGTTTTGCTCCACACTTCTTTTCCAAGACCAACGGCAACGGTGTGCCCATGTACGGCATTGTTCTTTCGTTTTTGTTCTGTTTGTTGGGATTTATGACCACTTCTTCTGAAGCTGCCGAGGTGTTTGACCATCTTGTGAATGTGGTTTCTCTAGCTGGTTTGATTGCCTGGGCATGTATTCTTTTCGTCCATATCCGCTTCATGAGAGCAATGAAAGTGCAAGGATACAGCAGGAAAGACCTCAGTTACCGTTCGCCATTGCAGCCTTTTGGGTCCTACTTTGCATTGGGTCTTTGTGTGTTTGTCATGCTAGCTAAGAACTTTACGGTGTTCTTGGGTGATCAGTTCCCTTATGAGACCTTCATTACAGGTTACATTATGCTTCCAGTTTCGATACTTTTTTCGTGGGCTGGAAGTTCTGGAAGAAGACCAGGCTTATCCCAGCATCAGAGGTTGATTTGGATACATTTAGAGAGGTGGTGGACTATGAGGAGGAGCAGTATAAGGCTAAGGATGCAGAGGAAAGGGCATTCAGAGAGTCTCAGGGTAATCCCAAGAACTTTAAGTGGTTCTACGAGAAGATCTTTGGCTGGATATTCTAGATTAAGGGAAAGAAGAGGTTACTTTGTTTCAGTTCATTGTGGCAGTCTGGGAGTATAAATAGATAGTTGTACGCTCATTAAAGGACCATTTACGATAACGAAAGCGGAAATGTCTTTAGATCTTGCCTTGCCTTGCCTTGCGGCGAAACTCGATCTTTCCTTATCTCTAGCAGCTTCGTTATCGGAACCAATGTGCAGAAAATACGTACAAACGGTTAAAGTTTCGTCTGGGCATCTTTTGGCCACGGCGATTTCTTGGGAGAGGAATTGACTGGATTTGAGAGTTTTTTTGGAATTTGTTGGATGATGTAAAAAAATAGCGTTGGAGAGATGGGATGCTGTTGTCTATTACCTGTTTATATGTGCAGCCAGTAATGCTTAGATAACAAGAAGGTCTTTTGTATATGTTTGAAGAAAAAAGATTCTTATATACTTTAATAAATTTCAATAACAGGAAGAGAAGACTGATTTCAGGTAAATCCAATCCTATTCCATGTCCTTTCTGCCTTGGTAGTAACACCTTTTTCATTCCTGGCTTATCTTATCTGGAGCCCACCACCACCAGCCATCCACCAACCATCCTCCAACCAACCATTTAATTTCTTCTAGCACCAACCTCACTGCCTTACATAAATTCCCCATATTCCATTCCCAAATTGCCTATTTCGTCAGCGTGGGCCCATCTCTTTGCACCAATATCTCTTATCAAGAATAACCCACCTTGCAGCAAAGGCTTATTCCGCTCTTAGACCAACGATATATAAACCCAAACCGTTCACAATGACTTTTCAACCACCATGTCTGAAAAAAAGCTGAATTCTCCATCTATAACCGATGTGGATATCGAAAACGGTATCACCACTTACGTTTCACCCCATACGGGAAAACCCATCCACTTGAAAGACACCAAAGATGAAGCGTTGGATTATATTTTGTCCCACGACACAGAGCAGCCGAGTTTGGACGAAAAAACTGACCGAAAGCTTCTTTTTAAAATTGACTGCTTTCTTCTTCCATTTATTTGTCTTCTATATGCTGTGCAATTCATGGATAAACTCTCCAATTCTTATGCAGCCATCATGGGCCTAAGAGAAGATTTAAATATGGAAGGCGACATGTATTCATGGACAGGTTCTGCGTTCTACATTGGATACTTGGTGTTTGAGTTCCCATGTGCTTATACGCTACAGAAGTTCCCAGTCATCAACACTGTCTGCGTGTACATCATCATCTGGGGCATAATTTTGTGTCTCCATGCTGTTCCCGGCTACGAGGGCTTTATAGCGTTACGAACGCTTCTAGGCGCCTTTGAGTCTTCGGTCACTCCAGCGTTTGTCATTGTCACTTCCCAGTGGTACAAGAAAGAAGAGGTGTTTCTTAGAACTGCCTTGTGGTTTTCGTTCAACGGCGTGGGCATGATGCTTGGTTCTGGAGCTATTGCTTATAATCTTCATGCTAATATGAACAGTTACAGTATAGAAGCGTGGAAGTTGATTTTCATCATCACTGGCGCCATCACCATTGCCTTGGGCATAGCCATATTCTTCCATATCCCTAATAAACCTACAAAAGCTTGGTTTTTGACCGAACACGAAAAAAGACTCGTCGTGGAGAGAATCAGAGGCAACCAGCAAGGGTTCGGCAACAAGACGTTCAAAAAGTACCAGCTCATCGAAGCATTCACAGATATCAAGACCTGGCTCTACTTCTTCATTGGAATGTCCTCCAATATCCCCAACGGAGGCCTTACCAACTTTGGGTCTATTTTACTTAACGAGTCGTTTGACTACGACGTTGGCCAGTCGCTTCTAGTCCAGGTTGTCTTTGGAGTGGTGGAAGTGGTGGGATGTTCTCTTTTTGCATACTGCTACAGGTTCTACCCAAAGAGACTCTTCTGGGCCAACGCTGCCAACGTTGTAGTCCTCATGGGCCTTTGTCTTGTGGCTTTTGCGCCAGGAAAACATGCCCAGTTGGCTGGTTACGCTCTCTTCTACTTATGTCCCCTTGTAATGATCTGTGGGTTATCTTCGTGTGCTTCTAATGTGGCTGGCCACACGAAAAAGGTTACTGTGAATGCTATTTTTTTGATTGGTTACTGTGTGGGTAATTTGATAGGGCCCCAGACGTTCAGAGACGAACAGGCGCCAGATTACGTTGGTGCTAAGGTTGCAATGGTGGTTTGCAGTGCAGCTACTACGTTGTTCTTGGTTGCTGTGTGGGTACTTATGGCCAGGGAGAACAGAGTCAGGGATGCTGCTGCTGGTGCTACTGGGACGAATGTTGAAGATTTTGATAAGATCGAAAACCATGAGTTTGCTGATTTGACAGATAAAGAGAACCCCTTGTTCAGGTACACCATTTAGGCAGACAGCCATACCTAAATCCAGCAAAAAGAACAAAAAACAAAAACTAGTCTTCGGGAAGTAACGAGCTGACTTAGTGGGTATTCTAGATTAGAAATGGGATTCTTTGGGGGTGGGTTTTCTTAGGTTCTGTGTCTTTTAAGGTTCTGTCCGTATACCTCACCCCAGGTACTTAGACCCTCCGTCAAAACCACCAAAATTTAGGAAATCAAAGTTTCTAAGTTATGGTGTTATTAAGGGCACTTCTAAGGGTTTAAATGTCTTTTTAGATTTCTGTTAGGACCATTTTGGGTGTATTAATGGAACCTCATTTCTCACATAGTTAACAGTTTGCAGCCATTAAATACAACCAGAACATGAGAATGCCAGTGACTAGAACATCTCCCAGCGCTGCCTAAACTTGAATACTTCATAATACCTTTGCTATTTCCTAATTGCCTCTCATAAACCCTTCATCATAGCCACTAGCTGTGTTTTGGCTTCGCAATCGCCTCTGGACTTCCAGCGATACTGATTTCATCAGGTGTAGTCGCCCTACTACAATCTACAAGGACAATCAAGCCAAACCTTCACATCTAGGAACCTCTCCAAAATCCGAATTTTGAACGTTCTGTTGTCAACGTAGCAAGTGAGTTTCTCTTCAATAGTCTTCGAGGGAAACAAAGATCGACTCATGTAGCTTCGTAATCTTCTCCTTCTTTCTGTGTAAAACCTGTAGCACCCAATCAGACCTTAAAGCGTTTTCTGGCAAATACCCATCTGTAGCCCATTCCTCGAAGGTGTTGTGTTTAACAAAGATGGCTAGTTCTTCATTCATGGCACGCAGCCAATGTTCCTTATCTGGGCATGTAATTGCATCCCTGTAGGTCTTGGGTATATTCATAAGGACAAAGTGATGGCATGTTTACGTGTTGTGAAGTATATTTGTACGCAAATATGAACTCACCTACCGAAAACACAAGGGAGTTGGACCTATTTTGACATCCATTCAGACTCCGATTGGGATGAAATTCCTAAGACTAGCAAGCCTATAACGGGTATGATAGCTCGAATCTACAATCGTATGAGATACGGTTATGGTAGGTTGGTATAGACCTGGGGAAGGTGGAGAAGTCTTTTTGGCTTTATAGTTTCTAAGCCTTTTCGACTGCTACTCCTTTGTCGACTTTGGTGCTCCTTTGGGACACTCCCTGACAATGGTGGAATGTTGTATATACCCAAATAGGCTTATTACCAAATTGCCTCGAACTTTCACTACCCACGTATTTTGCTGTCTTTTTCACAAGATAAAGCGTCTACACCTGCCTTGTCTATCCAGGGCTTCATATACTGGTGATGTCTGCAAGTGTGGAATACATAAGTCAAGGAGGAGCATATGCGTACCTACTACCAGAGTATGAAGCTGAGACAACTGAAAACCGCCAGAAAAGCTTCCCAGGGCTTCTTAAGTTGAAGCACTCAGGCATTGACTTTTGGTCGTTGGCAAGCGATGGGCTCTTGGTGGCTATCTACTTCTTCCAGCTAAAAGCTATCCACAACAGGGTTTCGTATGTCACCAACCTCTGCAGCTGTTATCGACACACGTACCCATTCTGTGTGAGAGCTTCTGAGACTACCATGGTGTTTATTTTGCTTCATTTGATCATTGGAGCTCTGTTGTACTGGAAGCTTGCCAGAAGGACCTGGCTCAGTCCATTGAACCTTGTAAGTAGGTGTTTTTGGGTGATTTGGGCAGTAACGAAGGTTGTGGCCGTGGTTAGTTTGTCTATATGGGCGACGTTTGGAGTAGTACGTTTTGTGGTGGCCTGAGAGGAGGCGTTGGTGAGTTGGTGAAGTCGAAAATGGATGTCTGGGTGGGCCAAAGGTTTGGTATTACTTTTGAAGTGTCTGGGCTTTGGAAAGAAGCCACAATGGACCAAACGGTTGGATGTATTCAGAAAAGCAGTAAGAAGACCTCCCTGGTTTAGACAAGATCTCTTGTTCAAACTGGACAAACCTTCCCTTGCTGAGTCTTGCTGAACCTGAAAGAAAGCCTCCTTTCTGGGCCCAATTGAAACTACTCATGGAAACCAGCAGTTAAGGAATGGGAACCTGGTCTGCTTTTATGGAAAAAGAGAGGTCAATATTTTCCCACGGTTCTGGCCATTAAGCCTACCGTCCTCTCTGGCTCAATTGTCCCTTTAATCCAATTAAACACAGCATTCCACCCATTGTCCAAAAACACCGGTTTCACCTCTGAATGTGCTTCTTCCGTCAGTGGCTACCTGTCTTTTCCTGGAACCCCAATAGTCGCCCACCAGCTGTATATATAGAAAACGAGCTACCCATGGAAGTCCTCCCATTCCGTAATGTTTCTTAAGCAGCAAACCAGTACCCAATGCCTTACTTTCTCTACAAAAACCAGTCTCCCAGAAAGCCTCCAAAAAAACCCCAAGAAACAATTCTTCCCGTTCTGTAGCGTTGATCCCGTCGCTTCCCACAACCACCAACCACAACTCGACCCAAAATGGTCAGAAAACAATGGAAATTCCACAGGAACGTTCCCAAACACGCCGCCAACGCTCCCATTGGCTCTGTTTTTGGCGTTTTCCAGTTTCCGATTTTTCATACCTACTTTTGTTTTTTGGGTTTATGCTACTCTTCCAAACCCGCAACTCATACACAAAACACACCTGGAGAAGCCATAACCACGGTTTCGAAAATATACAAAACATCAACAAAAAAATACACTAAAGAAAAAACAAGAAAAATGCAAAACACTAAAGAAGCATTTAGGGAGGAAAAAAAAATCACACGACTTTGTCAGACGAGGAAGATCTGAGTAATTGATGGTTTTTCTCTTTCAGATATATACATGTATAGAGCTTTCCATTTGATTGAAATGAATGAAAAAAAAAAAAAAACTACACTAAAGAAAACAAGAAAAAACAGAAGGGAACCAGTTTCCCTTCAGGCCCAGGCCTTTCGTGCCTTTCAGGCCCTCAGGCCCGGGCTCTTCAGGCTCTTCGACACCCTAGTGGTACCGAAATCTGCTAAACCACGCAAGTGGTCGTATTTGGACAGTGTGGCTCCCAAAACGGACCAAAAGGTAAAGGGTCCTGCCGGGCGCCACAGGAGACACTTGCTTGAGCGAAGGTTAGTGGATCTTAAATAGGCGATGTTGCAGAAGCAGTTTGTGTGTTGCAGCCGTATTGGGTAGTTGCTGGACAGACAGAAATAGACATCCAGGCCAAAGGAGGCCTAAAACAGAGAAGGACAAAAGTGAAACAGACACAAAACGGGAAAAAAGTGGGAAAATGTGTGTTGTGGAGGGAGAAGTGGTGGTTATGGGCCCCCAGGCTGGAGCTATTGGAAGAAGGAAGGTCCAGGCAAGCATGTAATTTGGCAGTCAAAGTTCAGCCGTGCCAGATTAAATAGATCAATTAGATTACTTAGATCGATCGATCAATTAGATATGTTCTTTTTCTTCTTTTCTGCATTTCAAAGTAAGTACCCTCTTTCTCTCGGTTGCTATCCAAAACAAGATACCTCCACAGTTAACCTCCAGGCTCCAGAAGTGACGGTTTTGCGGTGCCAAGAGAAAAGCCGTGGCCTTGTGGCGATACATTCACAACCCCTGAGTTGCATAACCGTGCTAGTTTTGCTCTTCGGTTACGAAGGCCCGCATGAACTGGCATTATGGCTGCAAACACACAATCAATTCGTCTAAGAATTCTACAAGAAATTGGCTATAAAAGGCCAGCTTTCTCCCTCTTTTTCCTTTTTTCTCTTTTCTTCTTCACCCACTTCCCAATGAAATACACTATCGCTGCTTTGTCCTTGTCTTCTGTTGCCTTTGCTCAGGTTGCTACCACTGTGCTTGACATCCCCCACGGTGACCACACCCACCCAGAGACCAAGATCGTCTGGAACGGTGACAACGCCCCAGAGGGTTTCGCCACCACCGTGTTGAGCATCCCACACGGCGACCACTTCCACCCAGAGACTCACGTTGTGTGGACTGGTCTGGGTGACGTTCCAACTGGTTTGGGCGACAACAACCAGGCCGAGGCCACTGGCGGTGCCGGCGACGACCACGATCACGACCACGCTGAGGAGCACGACCACGACCATGACCATGACCACGACCATGACCATGACCATGACCATGACCATGACCATGACCATGAGCACGGTGACTCCCACTCTCACGACCACTCTCACTCCCACGACGAGGGCGCTGCTGCCCAGCCAGCTCCATCTGCTGGCGAGTCTGCTGCTCCAGCTCCTTCTGCCGGTGAGTCTGCTCCAGCTGCTGTCTCAAGCTACGAGGGAGCTGCTGGCTCTGCTGCTGTTGGCTTGAGCGGTCTTGCTGTTGGTGCTGCTATCTTGCTTTTGTAAGTAGAGTGATGTTGTTTGTACTGACACTGGCTGAAGTCGACGGCGTTTGCGCTGGCGCCAGCCTTGTTAGATTCTGAATCAATACTATTATCTTTAATGAGGTGTAGAGTAGAGGTAGAAGAAGGATTGAGGTAGAGGAAGTGTTTGGACTGGCGGGGGAACCAACAAAAAAAAAAAATTAGAAAGTACATTTGAAAGGAATTAATTGGGAATCCTTTGATTTGATGGGAATGGTTGTAGATGTCTATGCGTACATAAAATGAAGGTACTAGACCACAACTAACTGCGCTTCCACCAACCAAAAAATTACCGCCAGGTAGATTCAGCCGTCTTATATATAACCACCAGTCGTCCAAACCCCTTGAAGCCCACTAAACCATGTTCTCTGGTCCTCATGGCGGTCCAGTTCAGCTTCGACTCATGGGATTTATTGGAATTGTGGTTTTAAGGAAAGACAAGCAGCTGGTGTGGTTATGGAAGCAGTCTGTGGATCACTAGAAAGATATACTGTCCAGCAAGTGCAATGTACTCTTCAAAGAAGCTCATAAAGGTACAAGTGTTTCTTGTTCAAATGTCTGGGGTAAAGCTATGGAACCACTGTCTCTGGACGCCTCTGGCTGTTTTTGGCTGTCTACACGAAGAAACCAGACTAAAAGACAAGAACTCTTCATGAAGCTATTCTAATTGTACTACCTGCCTTTCCCCTACTAATACACTAATAAATACACTTCAACCTCCTATTACCAGTGCTTCTTCGCCTTCCCTTCTTACCAGTGTTTCTACTATTTAGCACCATTACCAGGACAGTAACATGATCTGGACTTACATGGCATTAAATAAACTGAATAATTAGAGTTTCTGGGAAATTCCAATCAAGACCAGTAAACTGTTATTCTTTGAGGACGAGGGCCAATTTGTGGGCCAGAGTTCCGTTGGCTCTGATGGAGTCTGTTGCTGAACGAGATGTAACTTCTCTGGAGCATCAAGGGGTAATAAGATTCTGCAAGTTTGATTGTTTTTCTACTTTGTACTACTTCTTTGTTGCGGTTTCTGGAGTTACCTTGAGTTGTACATTACACAAAGACAACTCTTCTTCTAAGGAGGAAGAAGAAGAAGAGTAAGGGTAAGCTCTTATCTGCTACCAGGAAAACAACAGGGAAGGTTTTTCTGGATCCAGATCACAACATGAACGTAAAAAGTGGGATGTTTTCTATATGACAGGAAGGAATGCCAGGAATGGCTCGTGGGAGAGAAAGTAGGGAAATTAGGTAAGAAGGACGCCAGGGGAAGCAGTGACTTAAGAATAGCGAGAGTTGCATAAGCAGTTGGTTGAAAATGCCAATTGGAAGTAAATGAACAGGCAATTGAGAAGAGCTGGTTGATTCATACAAGGAAGTATCAAGCAAGCAGCTGGCCAGTGAAGACAATCTTTCTATAGTCTCCAGGTTCCAGGGTTCCAGGGTTCCAGATTCCAGAGTTCCAGTTTTCCAAATTTCCAGAGATCCAGGTTTTCAGATTTCCTCAAACAATATATGATGTTCTGTCTTCTGACTTTCCCATCTTCTGCTTCATGCTTTCTGATTTCTGTCTTCTGTCTTCTGGCATCTTCTGCTTCTGCCTCTAACATCTTCAGTCTTCATTCTTCACTTCTATGTGTTCAGTGTTCAGTCTTCTGCTTCTGACATCTTCAGTGTTCAGTGTTCAGTGTTCAGTATTCAGTATTCTTTCTGTTTCTTCTGTCTGCTTCTTCTACCTCAGTCTTCATTATCCAGCTCTCTGTGTTCTGTCTTCTTCTGACATCTTCTTTCTGCTTCTTCTGACATTATACCTTCTTCTTTCTGCTGCTTCCACGCCAGTATCGCTGTTTCACAGCTCCACTGGCTTCACACCACCACTTCCCACTTCTGTCTCATCCTTAAACGGATCACCTTCCATAACTCCCCCTCCAGACCCCTCCAACAACTTCTCATCTCTGGAAACCGGCCCAACCTCGGCAAAGTACCCACACACATCCTGCCAGCACAACAAGACCATATTGATAAACATCAACAAAAGGTCCAAAGTGTATAGAAACACCTCGTTCGAAATCAAGTACCCGTCGTAGCCCTCGATATACTCAACCGCTCTAATTATACACCTCACGAGAATCAACAAGGAGCATGCAAAAAGCGTATAAAGAAGCATTTGCCAGTTGAACCACTTTGACGGGGTGAACCTCAACGCCTGGGCTTCAGGACACGGGGTTTTCCATATTTTCCACTGGAAAAGCGCCGTCACGACCATGAAAACGCCAAAAAATGCAATTTGCACAAACAAACCAGCAATAATGATTCGTTCTGAAATATCAGCCTTACTCTGGTCAGCAGCACGAACAGAAGCTCCGATTCCTTGCATGAAAAACGAAATAACATCACCTAAAACAAAGATTTTCGTCAACCACTTTACTGGAACCAACGACTGATGAGCACTGTTCAACATGGCAATCACTCTGCCCAAAATCATATAAATAGTGGCTGCAAAAAGAGCAGCAGCCACAAGCAAAAGCACCGCTTGCATGATAAACGGATCCTTAGCCTCCACATCCTGTGAAGAAACACATCTTCCTATACATCCTATGATTTCACAGAGGCCTCCTAGAAGAAACGGAATGATGATAAGGGTACGTTTTTTGTCTAGTTTGGAGGCTGCTGGGTGGGTGAATGCTTTGTAGAACTGGTAGGTGGAGAACCCAGTGATGAAGGTGAAAGCTATGGTGAAGATGATGGCTGCGGCGAGAGATGGGTCGTAGTTGTAGAACTGGGGTTTTTCTGCTGGGCGGGACATATCTCGTAGTTGTAGCACTGAGCGGTGGAGTAGTTAACTTAGTGGATGGAGTAGTTATAGCACTAAGTGGATCAAGTAGTTATAGCACTAAGTGGATGAAGTAGTTAATAAGCTTAGTGGAACCAGTAGTTAATAAGCTTAGTTGAAGTAGTTAACTTAGTGGAACCAGTAGTTGATAAGCTTAGTGGATGTAGTTAATAAGCTTAGTAGATGGAGTAGTTAACTAAGATGATGAGTAGTTAACGAACTTAGGGGAACCAGTAGTTAACGAACTTAGTAGATAAAGTAGCTAACTTAGTATATGGAGTAGTCAATAAGCTCAGTAGATGTAGTTAATAAGCTTAGTAGATGTAGTTAATAAACTTGGTGGAGTAGTTAACTGAGTTAATTGTAGTAGCCCAGTTATAGCAGCTAACTAAGTAATGCACTGAGTTGAGGTAGTTAACTAGGAGTAGCTAACTGAGTTGGTAGTAGTTAACTGAACCAAGTGGATGGAGTAGTTAACTGAACTAAGTGGATGAAGTAGTTAACTAAGTGGATGTAGTTAACTAAGTAATGAACCAAGTTATAGAAGTTAACTAAGCAAAGGAATAGATAACTTATTAGATGTAGTTAACTGAGTTGGTAGCAGTTAACTAAGTAATGGACTAAGTTGTAGTAGTAAACTTAGTAGATGGAGTAGTTAACTGAGATGGTAGTAGTAGTTAACTAAGATGACGGGTGGTTAACTTATTGAATGGAGCGGTTAACTGAGTTGGTTGTAGTTAACTAAGTTGATAGTAGTCAATGGACCTAGATCAAGTAGTTGAGGAACTCAGTGATGTAGTTAACCAAGTGATATAGGTAGATCTAGTAGTCAAGCAACTTAGATAAGTAGTCACTGAACCTAGATCAACTAGTTAAGGAACTCAGTGGATGATCTGTTAACCAAGTAGATGTAGCAGTTAACTGGGTAGATGGAGTAGTTAACTGAGTGAACCAGATGCTAAGGAACCAAGTATGTCTGGAAGTTAATGAGCCGAGAGTAGTAGTTAACTCAGTAGATGGAGTAGTTCAGGTCCTCGGTGATCTATTAGTTAAGAAACTAAGTATGTTCAGTAGTTAATGAACTGGAAGTAGTAGTTAACTAAGCGATGGAGTAGTTAACCAGGTGGATCTAGTAGTTAAGGAACTAACTGGAAGTGGTAGTTAACGAAGTAGACCAGTAGTTAATGAAGTAAGTCAGTAGTTAACGAAATGACCCTTGATAACTGACTAGATATAGTTAACTAGGTGGATTAGTAGTTTAGTTAACTAAGTAAGTCAGTAGGTAACTGAGTAAAGGTATAGCTAACGAAGTGTATCAGTAGTTAACTAAATGAACCTTGGTAACTAAGTATTGGTAGGTAACTGAGTAGATATAGTTAACTAAGTAGATGTAGTTAACTAAATGAACCTTGGTAAATGAGGATTGGAAGGTAACGAAGTGTATCAGTAGTTAACTAAGTAAGTCAGGAGTTGCCCAAGTAATGGAGTAGTTAACTGAGTAAGTCAGTAGTTAACTAAGTAATGGATCAGTCAGGAACCAAGTGATCTGACAGATATACAGCTTAGTAGATCAGTAGTTAACTGGGCAATTGAGCAGTCAGCCAAGTGGTCTAGTACTTAAGGAGCTCAATTGAAGCAGTAGCTGCAGCTGTAGCTATCAAGTGTAGATGCCTTATGGATGCCTTATGGAAGCCTTATGGAAGCCTTAAGTATGAACACTCACGAACCAAGCGAAGCAGACACCAGGCGTATTCAGCAGTCAACGAACGAAATAGATCTGACAGTCAAGTAACTTCCCAGGTAGTCTATACTCTATAGTCTATAGTTTCTTCTCTAAAGTATGTCTATACTTTATAGTATGTCTATAGTATGTCTAGGAAGTGCCAGATGAGTACCAAGCAATATAACTTTGGTCTTTGTCCTTTATAACCAAAAAGTATGAAATGACCTTATATAAGACGCCTTCCTCGTGTCTCAATCTCTGGAAGTCCAATGTGTGAGTCTGCACGGCGGGAGATTTGTAGCAAGTCCAGGCGAAAGATCTTGCTGACTAAGAGTTTTTATTGGATTGGAAGATTTTCTTGGTATTCCTGAAATTGGACTGGATTTGTTGGTCTGGGCTTTTTTGAGCGTTCACCAGATGAGTTTGCGGCAGTGGAGGTGGGCCAGGTAGGGAGGCAGTTGATGAAGAGGTGGAGGTTGGATGATTGGAGAAAATGGAGGACTTTGGTGAAGTGGACTCGTAAATCGTCGGGTTCGGGATCTTGTGGACGTTGTTCCTTGTTGGGTTCGTATTTTTCAGGAACGTTCTTGGCAGCAACAGAAAGGCAAGAGCAACGAGGACCAGCAACGAGGAACGAGTTGCTGGTTACGAGTTGATGTTTACGAGTTGATGTTTACGAGTTGATGTTTACGAGTTGCTGAAAATGAAGGGGAAGGAGAACTTTTTACGAGTTGCTGAAGATAGGTTAACTCAGAGTCTAGAAGGTAGAGGAGACTAGAAGGTAGAAGATGGAAGGTAGTCTGGTAAGAAGTGACGAGTTGATTTTGCCGAGCGTAAAAGGAGAAGGAGACCTTTTTGACTACGAGTTGGTAGATATATACTATTTAAGAGGCTAGAAAGTGGAGACTAGAAGGTGGAGGCTAGACTGGAGGCCTAGGAGGTAGTCTGGTTTTGTGAGTAGAAGGAAGACAGGAGGTTTTCTGGTTACTAGCTGCTGAAGAGGAGAAGTTATTGGTTACGAGTTGCTGGCTACGAGTTGCTAAGGTTTAGCTTACTACGAGTTGGTAGAGGTATACATACTCAGAGGATAGACGGTAGAGACTAGGGTTTAGAGGCTAACTGGACGGTAGAAGTATACTGGAAGATAGTCTGGTTACGAGTTGATGGTCAAGTGTTACTGAAGATTAGCTGACTCAGAGGCTAGAATAATTAAGAAGATTGACTGGAAGGTATGTGGAAGGTAGAGTGGAAAGAAGAGTAAAAGTGGAGGGTAGTCTACAAGTTGATCTTGGCGAGTGATAGAGATTGATAAGAAGCAAGGAACGAGTTGCTGGTTATGCACTGAAGACTGGAAGGTAGTGAAGACTGGAAGGTAGTGGATAGAGTGTAGAAGATGGATTGGTTACGAGTTGGTGGAAGGTACACTGGAAGGTAATATTACCAGTTGCTGAAGATAGGGCAATATAGAGTCTGGAAGTTGAAGAGTCTAGAAGGTAGAAGTGGATTACTAGTATTTGAAAATATGCTGATTAAGAGGCTAGAATGGAGTGTATTGAATGTAGAGGCTAGACTGGAAGGTAGTCTGGTTGTGGAAGAGGCTGGAAGACTGGAAGGTGGATGGAGGGTAGAACGTAGGCTAAGAGTTGCTGATTATGTAGTGGTTACAAGAAGAAGGTAGAAGAGTCTGGTCAGCCAGTATCTGTCAAAGTGTAATTTAACCAACCACTTGCTTTCCTTGTTCTTCAAGAAGATTGTTCCTTAGTCTGGTCAGTTGGTGGAAGATAGAGTGATAATAATTCACTGTCTAGTAGACTTTTGCTAACGGTAGAGGCTTACCAGTTGCTGATGCTTTGGAGTCTAGAGCAAGACTCACCAGAGGATGGTCTGGAAGGTAATGGATAGAATGTAGAATGTAGTAGAAAGGTGGAAGTGGGAGGAAGGCAGTTGGCTTGAAAATAGGCTAATTTAGAGTCTAGAAGGTAGATTGAATGGAGGTAGAAGGAAGACAGGATGGAGAAAAGACAGCCAGACTGAGAGTTGCTGATGATGGAACTGGAAGAGTCTAGTATGTAGAAGAGACTGGAAGGTAGAATGGATTACCAGTTGCTGAAGATAGGCTGATCCAGAGGCCAGAAGGAAGAGGCTGGAGGTAGAAGATGTAAGTGGAGAGTAGTTGACTAAGAGGGAACGAGTTGGTCTTGTCGAGCGTAAAAGGAGAAGAAATTGGTTAAAGGAACGAGTTATTGGTACGAGTTGATGATGACGAGTTGGTAGAAGTATATATACTCAGAGGATAGAACTTAGAGGCTAGACTGGAAGGTGGACTGGAAAAAGTAGAGTGAAAAGAAGAGTGAAAACTCCACCAACGGCACCACCAAAGAAAGACCCAAACTAACTCTAATACGGTTATATAACGCTCTTCTATCGCCCTGAACCTCCTTAGACTATATATCGATCTCTATGACCAACCTTTGGCCTTTTCACTACATCGAAATCTCACACTAAGAAGTAACGAGTTGCTCTTGGAAGTGGAAGGGATAGAATTTGGTTGAGAGTTCTAGATTAGCTGGTTTAGAGGATAGGGAAAGAGTCTGGAAGGTGGTCTAGAGGTAGACTGGAAGATAGGGTAGAGGAGGTTGGTAGACAAGCAATTTGTTACTCGAGGTCAACTCGGTAGCCTGGAGTGTAGAGGCTGGAAGATGAACTTATCACGAGTTGGTAGAGGTAGACTAATTCAGAGGATAGAATGAAGTGGATGAAAGGTAGTCTGGTTACGAGTTGGTGGAACATAGAGTGATAATAATACGAATCACTGTAAAGTAGGCTTGAATGGAGAAGAGGCTGGAAGGTAGACTGGTTGACTAAACGGTAGACTAAAAGAAAGACTTTAGGGGTTTCTGATAAGCTTCTTACGAGTTACTGTGAAGTATTCAGGAGGTTGTCTGGTTCAAGTTGATGGAAAGTAGGCTGATTAAGAGAAGGCAGAGGCTATAAGGAAGACTGGAGGTAGTCTGGTTGTGTGAGTAGAAGGTAGAAGAGTCTGGAAGGTAGAAGATGGAAGCTGGAAGGTGGATAGTTCACGAGTTGTTCTTGCGTGGAAGTAAGTGGAAGTAGAGAGCGTTGGTTACGAGTTGCTGAAGATAGACCGAAGCTTACACCGGAAGATGTTGGTTAGAAGTCAATGTAAAGTAGTGTAATTGAGAGGCAAGAAGATATGCTTATTACGAGTTGACGAGTTAACGAGTTGTTA